GGAAACTACCCTTGAGTGAAGTGGATGATGAACATGAATATGTTAAGCCTTTAGACTCTGCCAGCTCATCCTGTGAAGAGGTTGCACAGTTTATGTTTCCACCAGCAGGTAAGAATGTTACTACCACCTTTTGGTATTTGTCAACACTTGTTATGATCTGTGTCAAACTTTAGCCATTACGTACTAATGGTTACTTAATTACATTTCGTTGTGGTTTTAGTTTGCATTTCCCTAATGGTTTATGCTGTCAAGCTCTTGGTTTGTTTGTTTGTTTTGTTTAGAGACCTGGTGTTGCTAGGCAGTCCTGGCTGGCCTGGAACTCCCTTTGTAGACCAGGTTGACCTTGCCCTCTGTCTTGTCTACTTTTCTATTGCTGTAAAGAGACACCAAGGCCATTTCAAATGCATTCTCTTTGCTTTGACCTTGGGGTTCGAGATGTGAGCATCCAGCTGTTGTTCCAGCCACCATGACTGCTGTCCACTGCCCGCTGCCCGCTGCCTTGATTCTGCCATCATGGACTCTAACCCTCCAGAGTGACAGAGTCCATCTGGGGGAAGGCATCACCACAGGCAGGGAGAGCATGATCAGAAAGATGGATGGTCATCTTTTATATGACATACAGGAAGAAGGTCTGGGGGTAGGGTGGGGGATAGGGTATTCGGTGAGGCTGTAAACCTCGTCCTGAGTGATGTATTCCCTCCAACAGGGCTCTGTTCCTGGAGGTCTCACAACCTCCCCATAGAGCATCACCGACTGTGGACTAATTCAAATACATGAGCCTATCAGGGACATTTCTCGTTCACACCTCCAGTTCTGGAATCTTCTCCTTTTAGTCCATTGAACAGGGCGTTCCTTCTCTTCTGCTCTGCAGGGCTTCTGTGAATGAAGTCCACTTCAAACCCTAGGACGCCCCTCCAGCTCTGGTTAGAAAAACCTGATTTTCCTCCGCCGCTTTAAGACTTTCCTTTGACTTTCGGCAGCTTTATAATAATCGATGTTGGTGATGGTGTGGATTTTCTTGGGTTGATCTTAGCCAGTGTTCCCTGGACTGCTTTGATCTGGATGTTCGGTTCTTTCCCAAGACTAGGGAGTTTTTGCCTTGTATTTTTTTTTTATACATTTTGTTGTCCTTTTACTTTTTCTGAGGCTATCCTTGATACTGTTTTCATTTCATGGACTTCCTCAAGTTTTTCTCATTTTAAAAGTTTATTCTAATTTTTGCTTCTCTAGCAGTGTAGTTTCAAACAATCTACCCTTGGGCTTACCAATTCTTCCTCCTGCTTGCTTTAATCTGTTTTTGAAACTTCCTATTGAAATTTAACTTAGTTTATTTTTTAGCTTCAAACTTTCTGCTTTATTCTTTATTCATTGATAGGTATTTTAAAATTAAGTCTCTAGAAGTGATATTTCGAGCTCAAAGTGTAAATGCATGTGTAGTTTAGTTACGTTAGTTCCTCTGGACACTCACCATTCCACAGCACTGTGCTGGATCCTGTGCCCAGCACTGAGTGTTAGAATGCCTGCTTCCTCAGGCCTTGCCCAAGGAACATAGGTGGGCCTTTCAGTATTGCTTTAGCTTGCTTCCCTAGCAGTGAACTTGAGTGCTCCTCCGTATGTTTGAGAGCCATTTGATATGCTTCTTATCAGCCACCTGCAGTTCCCGCATAGTTTTCTGCTGGTTGTTTGATCATTCGTTCCTGAAATTGCAGAGCTCTTTCTGAGTGAGGGATACTAGGTCTCATTGAAGACACATGTAAAAAAATGTTTTTACATGTTTGCAATGACTGAGCTGTGGATGTAGCTTGGTGATAAGGACCCTGCCATAGCAAGGCTTTGGGTTCAGTTCCCAGCAGGACACACACACACAAAGCACAGAAGAATACATATGTGTATATACAGACACGTAGAAGCACAAAGTTTGCAGTTACCTTTTACAGACATAGACACGGAGGCACAGAAGAACACACACATACACACACTGTGCATACACAGACACATACATACACACAGTTTGCTGCTACCTTTTAGCTTTGCTTTTTATAATTGTCTTTGCCAGGAAGATGCATGCACCCCGCACAGTCTCATTTATAAACTCTTCATTTTCTGTTCTCTGGATGCTGGAGATTCTGAAGCTCCTCCTCATATGACTCCTGAACAGGCCTGCGCTCTTGCTTTATTTCAATATTTGCAGGGCTTCTTTCCTTCTCCTTATATTCCTGTTGCACTTGGAGATCTTATTCATTTGTTTAATCATTTGAGATGTGGTCTTGCTATGTAGCTCAGGCTGGCCTCAAATTCAAGATCCTCCTGCCTCAGTCTCCCAAGCGCTGGGGTTTACAGATGTACAGTGCACAGCAACACCCCCTGGTGAAATTTATTTTCATATGTGAGGGATACCATCTTTTCCAAATTGCTGAACAGTTATCCCGGCATTACTTCCTGCAAACCTTCATTGCTGCCCACGTGACTTAGGACACCACCGTCTTTATAATGCACTGATTTCTAGGCTTAGCTGATTCTATTTCTTTTCTCTTCTTTCCAGCTGTGTATCCACCATGTTGTGTTAACTATCAAGGCTTTACACTATATGCTAACATTTGTCTTCCTTGGTTTGCTTGTCTTAGTGTTTCCCTGTCTGCTCTTGCGTATTTTTCCTTTACTAAACCCTTGTCTGTTTCTGTAAGAGTTTGGATGGTATTGAGATCATGTTAATTTTACAAATTAGTTTAAGAAGTCTAACATTATTTATTTGAAAACTAGGTCTCACTGTATAGTGTTGGCTGGCCTGGAACTTCCTGTGTAGACAGTCCTGAATGCTGGGCATAAAGACACCCATAAACACACCCAGGCTAGAGTATAACATCCTTAGGCCAATGAATCTCATTCACTCAGAACACAATTCCCAAGAACATGTTTTCTGTTAAAAAAGCAAGTCATGGCATAGTGTTCATCAATAATATACTTCAGTTCTGCCTCCAGGTTTCTGCCTTGAGTTCCTGCTGGCTTCCCTCCCTGATGGAAGGATACCTGGATGCATACGATAAAATACAATCTTTTTTTTTCTTTCGAGAAAGGGTTTCTCTGTAGCTTTGGAGCCTGTCCTGGAACTAGCTCTTTGTAACCCAGGCTGGCCTCGAATTCACAGAGATCTGCCTGCCTCTGCCTCCCGATTGCGTGCGCCACCACCACCTGGCTCAAAATAAAATCTTTTGTCTCTAAGGTGCTGATAGTCACCTTAGACTTATGGTATTAGGAAAATGGTGTTTTATCATAGCAACCAAAAACACTAAGCCCTTAGCCAACAAAATATCTAGATGAATTTAGCTAGCTGCTCTGTCAGCCACCACTATCAGAACACTGACAGAGAAATATCTCCTTAGCCATCCTCTTACTTCAAACTGTTTTCATTTTTCAAGCTTCCTTAGCACTGATTTTGTTCTGAGTAGGCAGCCCGCCTCCTCCTACAAAGAGAAAGCAGAAGTTGTAGTGTGGGAACCCCCACAACTTCCCCATAAGAGCCATGGATAACTACCTATATTTCCACTTAGCATCTTTCTGTGCTGGTGAGGCATTCTCCCCCAACCATCTGAGTCCTGCCCCCTCACTTGCTTGCTTTCTGGTCCTTCCAGCTTCTTTCCCCTTTCCACTCATGGCTGAGCCTTAGAGTCTAAGGGTCTAGCCTCTCTTATCTATTCTTGGCCTCCCTCTTGACCCTTTCCATTCGCAAAGTATGTCAGCCTTCTCAAATGGAGCACTAAAGACAAGGCGGGGCCAAGGATGTGGCTTAGGGGTAGAGCGCTTTCTTAGGATGTGCAAGGTGTTCGGTTCAATCCTTACCCCCAGAAAAGTCAACCAAGTCATCAACAGTAACAAGACCACACACCTCCTTCCTCTTAATGACCATATTTCTCTTCTCTTCTCTTCTCTTCTCTTCTCTTCCCTTCCCTTCCCTTCCCTTCCCTTCCCTTCCCTCCCCTCCCTGCCCTCCCTTCCGCTCCCCTCCCCTCCCCTCCTCTCCTTTCATCTCCTCTTCTCAGCTTGCTTCATCTTGTTTTGTCTCTTCTCGTCTTTTCTCTTTTTTTCTTCATAGTCCTAATTTCTCAAGTGACAGATCTTGGGGTTTCTGGTACACAATAGAGACAACTCATACACAAATGCCTGAACACTGAGAAGAGGAGGAAGCTAGAAAGGAAACATGAGGAGGTAGTAGTCTATCAGAGAGCCTGGATATAGTAGGAGGCTGCTTGTTGATTTCCCCGGCAGCCCAGACTCCTGAAATAACCACACAAAAGCTGTATTAATTACAACACTGCTTGGTCCATTAGCTCTGGCTTCTTATTGGCTAACTCTTACATCTTAATTTAACCCATTTCAATTAATCTGTATATTGCCACATGGCTGTGGCTTACCAGGTAAAGTTCCATTCAGCATCCAGCATCTGTCTCCAGTGGGGCTACATAGTTTCTCCTGACTCCACCTTCTTTCTCCCAGCATTCAGTTTAGTTTTCCATACCTAGCTCTATTCTGCTAAGCCACTGGCCAAAACAGATTCTTTATTCATTAACCAATAAAAGCAACACATATACAGAAGGAACTCCTACATCACCTGGGTGTCATAGTTGATGAGATGCCTTTAATTGTTATTTGGTAGACTAGTATAATTTTAAGAATACAACTTTTATATAGGTTTATTTTTCATCTCTTTGTCTGAAAATCTGAAAGAATAATTGCTGCCTCTGACTGCTATAGTATTGTTTTGAAGATTCAGAAGCTAAAGGACGCAGTCTGGGCATGATGGTTCAAGGCCAGCCAGGACTACATAGTGAGACCTAGTCTCAAACAAACAAACAAAAACCTAATGGATGCAAAGACTCTGCATCCCAGTATATATTCAAAGTTTCTCATTGTTGTTTCTGTAATATAATTATGTGATTAGATGGACAGGCTTACTCAACTAAATATGAAAATAGACAAGATGGCCAAAATGCAGATAAACACCCAGTAATTCAACCATCCTTGGCCTACAGGTTGGGTGAGCACTTTAGACCTGTCATTGGGGACACAGAGAAGAATGAACTAGAAGTTGTCCTCTTAGTGATCTCACAGCCTTAGGACGGGCAGGGCAAGCGCACGCCACTCAAAAGCAGTTTAGTCATTTTGGTAATTGACAGCAGAGGGTGTTCTGGAAGTTCAAGGGAGGAATCACACAGCTTAGAATAAGGTGGGGCTTGCAAGAGGTCATCCGGAGTGAGGCCAAAGGAGAAGGCTCTCAGTGTAGACCTTAGCAGTCGGGAGAAGCATGCAGGGGGCCAGCTTAGCATTTCTCTGTCCACACAGTTCAATTCAGAGACATTTCTGCTTTATTTAGTAAAGCAAAGTGGCGGCCCTGCAAAGTTATTTGACACTTACTGGTCCATGAGAACGATTTGTGAGGAAAAAGGTGTTAGAAGATGATACAACAGTGAGACACAGCTTTCATTGCCAGGAGTGGAGTCGAGCAGGAAGTGCTGTAGGCTGAATGACACAATACATTCTAGGAAGCTGGTAGCTGCGAGCCCAGATGGGGCACTGCCAGTAAGAAAATCACCCAGGCGGTGTCCCCATAGTCCGGGATTTTAATTCAACTTTGCATGTGCAGAAAGTTGATTGGCAGGTGCTAATCTCCTGGGAACTGCTTTACTCAGAAACAGGAGTGAACTGCATAAAGGTCAATGATTTCACTCACAATAAGTACAATATTCGTGTAGATGAAAACATAGCATGCTGCAGACTGGCATGCCTGGTAGTGCCATGAGATTCAGACATCAGAGGAAAAAAAGAGCAAGAAACTGCTGGTTTGGATGGGAACTCGTTGAGAATTAGATCACTATCACAATTTAAAGCCAAGTTTGAAACAAGCTTTAACTAAATACCAGTCCAGTGAATGGACTCTGGCCAATTTCACCTCTGCTTCCCCAGAAAAAGGATCCTGAATCAAGTTTTGCAGTGGCTTAATTACTTCCCATCAGGTCCAATCCCAAGTGTACACCCTGACGTATTTCCTGCCTGTGACCCTCTGCCCACGTGTGATCAAGCGCATCTGTTTGCAGATGGACCAAACAAACTTGTTTAGCGGAGTGAAAATGTGGCTTGTTATCTCCCATAAACAACAGCTTTCAGAATTTCAGGAACTGTCTGTCCTTGGGCAAGGGGCTTGCAGACCAGAGGCATTTTTGTTACGAGGATTTCTTAGGCACAGTAATTACAACTTCAAGCATTTTCCTAACCGAGCAGCACACGCTCATATCCCTCTCCCGACTCCCCGAAGTTATGATCGGTGCAATCCCCGAGGTTCCAAAGTTCCCATTGTTGTGGTTCACTGAACGATGATGTCTGAAATCAGCAGCAGGCTTGTGCTGAGAGGCGCAGAACTCGAATGTGTTTTGGAAGAGACTTAGGAGGCAGCCAAGGCCACGTCAAGTCCGCTGAGGAAAGAAGCGTGAGCCTGTAGAGCTGACAAAGAGAGAGCAGGAGATGCCAAGATGGGGTCCCTCTGTGCCTCTGAGAGTTAGGGGTTCCATTACATGAATTCATTGCTTATGCACGTGACTCTTATCAGATAGAATCACCACGTGCACGAGCACAGGACCACGTATGCGAGCTTGTATGAAACACGGAGAACAGTTTATCAGTCAGGACTCTCTGCTTCTGGCTCTGCCCCGAGTTCTGTTGCCTTATTGGCCCCATGGAACATAAAGCTATCATGCCTTCATGCTGCCGTGGGTAGAGCCTTGTGCCATGCCTTTTCTACCATTGTGGATTACAGCCCTGGAACCATGAGCCGATTAACCCTTCCTCCCTTCAGTTACCCCCAGCAGGAGTTTGCCTCAGTGATGTAAAAGGTCAATGCCCCATTTCTAAATTCATGTGAAGAGTTTTTGTATCCTCCTTGTTCTGTCTTTAAGTTCCTACCTGGCAACCATACCCATCTGTATGTTTCCTGTCGTTAGTCCACACGTCATTCCCAAACCACTTATCACTGCTTTCCTAGCCCGAGATCAAAATACCACAGGATGCCCACCGTGCAAAAGGTCCGCAAGGTCACGGTCATAGTCAACACCTTCCTCGAGGCAGGTTTGCTACACGGCTTCTCTGTCTCACCAAGACTATTGCATCTCCCTTCTTACAGAAATGCTCGTGCTGGTGTTTTCTTTGCGTTCCTGTTTCCTTACGTTCTGGCTCTAATTGGTCCCCGAATTCTGTCTATTTGAACTTTCAAATACTCATTGCTACCACAGCAGTCACGTGTCTTCTCATGCCTAGACTCCTGGAGTTTCCCAATCGAAGGCGAGTGTGGGAGGCTTTTTTTCTCCGTCCATCATGTTTGTTCCTGCATGCCTCTGCCAGCTTGCCTGTCCTAAATCCCGGGTTTCTGTGTGTCATGCTCTTTCCCTACACTATTTCATGGCCAGTCAAAGAGCAAACCAAATCCTTGAATCTGGATTCAAGGCCTTCTACAACTTGATATCAGGCTTCCTTCTCTAAAATTTGTTTTTATTTTTGTGTTTCACCTGTGTGCAGTTACCCGAGAAGGCCAGAAGAGGGAGCCAGGAAACAGACTAAAGATCTGCAATGTATTTTACAAGCTACTCTACTGTCAATGGTGGTGGTCTCTGCTAGGAAAAAAAAATACAAAGGAGAGGCTCACACAGATTTGCAGAAGATGTGGGACAGCTTATTTGGAGCGAAGTGACAGTGTAGGCTGTAGGAGGAGACCCTGTCCAGGCTGACAGTAGGCCGCTTGAGTGATTGTCCTCAAGGATCCCAGTTACTATTTGGGATTCATTTTTTTTTTTCGAGACAGGGTTTCTCTGTGGTTTTGGAGCCTATCCTGGAACTAGCTCTTGTAGACCAGGCTGGTCTCGAACTCACAGAGATCCGCCTGGCTCTGCCTCCCAAGTGCTGGGATTAAAGGCATGCGCCACCACTGCCCGGCCTGGGATTCATTTTTATGCGAAGAGAAGGAGCTGATTCCTAAAAGGCAAAGTTTGGGTACCAGGTTAGGTCACACATGATCGATTTTCTTACTGCACATGACCCTACCATGCATGGATTCTTCTCACGTTGATCACGCATGTGCAGTTGTGCTGAGCAGTGCGTGACCACTGAGGGCTTTTAATGTGCTGTAAAAACCACTCCTTTTAGAATTACCATGACAATGCCCAATTAATGATTCCATATTGATTTCATACGAGCTGAATCTAAAAGTTTATCTGGTGAGTGTGGTGGGGCCCAACATGTATTTGGACACTTGGTCCCCACTCGGTGGCACTGTTTGGGGAGGTTGTGGGTGGAGCCTTGCTGGAGGATGGATGCCCCCGGGGGTGGGCTTTCTATAGCCTTCCATACTTCCTGAACACTACTGCTAAAGATACGATCTCTCAGCCCCTGCTCTTGCTGTCATGACATCCTGCTGTTGTGGGCTCTCTGCCTCCGGAACCATAGACTAAAATAAACTCTTTCTTTATAAGCTGCTTTTGCTGTGCTATTTTATCACAGCAACTAAAGCATCTAATGCAGAGGGCGTGTGTACACAGATCAAAACGATAGGAGATATACATAGACATCACATGAGATATGTATGAGCTGTCACATACAAGGAGAGCCATGTGTCACTTAAGGAAGAGGCTACCCTGTCAGAGAGAGCAGATGCTTAGGGATACTGGTGACCTCCTAGGCAGAACAGAGCAGCGTAGGAATTGAACCTCTGCCTGGCCCCTTCTCAGGTCCCTGTCATGACACCTGTAGCACATTCATGTTGCTAAGTAGACAGGGTGAGGCAAAAACGCTGTTTTAAATCAATAATGTCCCCATGCATAGAGGGTGACTTTCAAGGATCTTGTCCCTGAGCCTTGTCTGATTCTTTCAGCATGCAGGAGTTGATGGCTGGTAGTCCCAGGCAGAGGAGCAGACAGTAGAAACACATACCAGACTCTCAAAATGTTTATCTGTACCAAATATCTAGCAGGAGTTCTGAAAAAAAATCATGAGTTAAGCACACTTTCACAAAGATAGGCTACTTAAAATAGAGTTGAGACAATTTAAAAAAAAATTCTCTCATGTGTGCAGAAGAAAGAGCCAGTAAACAAAACAAAAAGAAATAAGAACAAAAACCCAAATTCTAGATAGCATATTCCTTCCTGCTCTTCTCCAGGCTGATGTTCTGGGACAACCGTGGGACTGGGATCTCTGGAGTACAGGGCCATCCCACTGCCAAGGACACACATCTCTGTGGGGAGGTAGCGTGGGAGGATCCTAGAAGTTCAAAGTCATCCTCTGCTCCACAGTGAGATTGAGGACATTTGACATCCATGAGACTCTGTCTAATACAACCAAAAAACCAAAAGCCAAAAAAACAAACAAACAAACAAACAAAAAAACCAAAACAAAACCAGAACACCCATGTGACTTGCAGAGGAATTCTATGTTCCAGGCAGGGCAGCGAGCATAAGCGCTTGTCTGTGTCATAGAGGTCTCTGGAAATTGCAGATCCGGGACACTGGAGGTCGCTACTGTCAGTTTTAGACCTCACCTAGGTCTAGAAATAGGTGTTCTCGTGGTCTGAGTTGTTCAGCTGCAGGTATTCCAAGGAGCCTTTTTTGTAGCTGGCCACCCGTGTGGGCCTCCGGCTCTTCACGCCCGAGGCCTCTCTCTTCTGTAAGGAGCTGACAATCATGTCTGAAAACTCTGCCTGCAGGCGCTGTTGGTTCTCCCTGGAAAGGGTGTGGGGAGAGAAAAAGTTGTCAGCTATCCACGCGGAACGTCCCTTAGCTTCAGACCTTACCCAGTGGGTGCCTGTTCCATGCTACACACAGGAAATGCAGGGAGTACAAAATCACCATTGCCATTCACGATTCCAGAAAACCGGCTTTCCTGCCCTGTGTCAGTGTAAGGTATTGTAGACAGAAAATGGGTCTTTCTCTTTCAAAGTGAAATATGTTGTTAGAATTGGGGAACACGGCAGAAGAGCCACCGAGATCCAGAACAGAAATGAGGAATCTCAGGACTGTACCACACAGCCCTGGAAACACACGGTTACCCACATAGCCATGAATTTGAGGGTTGTGTGGAGAGGGCTCATTATGGCAGTGGGTCTCCAAAGTTTAGAAGGATCTGGGCAGTTCTAGTTTGAAGCCAGGCTTCCCGGGTTGACTCGGCTTGCCTTCTGTCTGCTAGCCAATGGGCTTCTGAACGAGAGGCTCTCTCCTCCAGCCAAAGCCATTGCAACAGCCACAGGGCTAGGGCAGGAAACTTGTTAATGGACTGGACAACTTGAGCCTCCTTCAGAAATGAAACCTGCTAGAGAGATAGGAAATCTTCCTATCACAGGAATGCAGACTCCGTGGTAAGACCTAGCACTGTGACTTTAGGCGAGGCTGGTATCTTCCTCTTTGGGGACACCAGTGGACAGAAGGGGGCAGGAGTGGAAATGCAGAGAGCCTCTCTGCTTCCAGCATTTTCTATCCTTGTTATTGTTGTTGCTGTTGTTGTGTGTAGGTGCTTTGTCTGCTTGTGTGTCTTGTACCATAGGTGTGCCTGCTGCCCAGGTGGCCAGAAGGGGTATCTGGAACTAGAAATACTAATGGTTGTGAGCTGCCATGTGGGTGCTGAGACTCAAACCTGGGTCCTCTGGACTCAAGTGTTCTGAAACAACAGCTAGTGCTCTCAACCTCTGAGCCATCTCTCCAGCTCCCGTGCTGTTCTCATAAGGGGCAAACAGGTGTGGCACTGCTTTCTTTTGTTCCAAGCAAGGCAGAACACAACCCTAGATTTCTGAGGTTTCCTGAGCAGAATGTGACCAGCATTTCACCAAGTGAAAGAGGCTTGCATCTTCATGATTTTCATTTCTGTGTATTTCTGTGTGTGAATGTATGTCCTGTGTGGTGCCTGTGGAAGCCAGAAAGTATACGACCCTTTGGAAGTGGAGTTGCAGGCATTCATAACCAGATGCGGGTGTTGGGAAACACACTCATGTCCACTGGAAGAGCAGCAGGTAGTCTTAGATGCTGAACCAACTCTCCAGCCCCCATATTTATTTTATTTTTAATTACAGGTGGATAGAGGTGGGGTGGGGTGTATTGCAGTACTCACAGAATCCAAAGGAGGGCATCAAATCCCCTGGGACTGGAGTTACAGAACTAAGGGGATGGAAACTGAACACAGGTTCCCTGATCACTGAGCCACCTCTCCGGGGCCTCCCCCTCCCTTTGTGTCTGAGACAGTGTTAATGCAGATTAGCCTGACCTCAAACCCACAGAGATCTACTTGCCTCTGTCTCCTGAGAGCTGGGATTAAAAGTATATGCCAACACACCTGGTAAATCAAGTTCATTTTAAGGAAGACAAACTCTTTACAATATAACCTGGTAAGGCATGTGGCATATGCCTAGAGAAAGCCAGCAAGGAAGACTGAGAGGTGGAGGCCAGTCTGGGCTACATAGTGACCTTGTCTCAGTCTGAGTGTCCCTGTGTGTGTGTGTGTGTGCGCGTGCGTGCGCATGTGCGTGTGTGTGTGTTCACATATCATATACTTCATCTATATATTTCATCTATCAATCTATCATCTTGCAGCTACATCATTGGCACAACCAGAAATCAACCTTAGAAGGACAGAAGAAAAGGAAGGAGTCAGTGAAACAAAACGAAACCAAAGTCAGCTAAATAAGAACAGAATCTCTTCTAGGTCCAGAGACGCCTCCTTCCCCTTTCCCAGGTGGAGCCTCCCTGGGACAATGGAACAGGAGTAGCCCGGTGTGACTTCACTGAGAACACACTTCTGACTGACTCATGAGGGAAGTAAACCTAGGGCTCCAGAGCACCAGAGGTTGTGCGTATTCTGGGTCACCGAGTCTCAGGAAGATACTGGCATTCTGGATACTCCAGTTCAGCAACTGGAGAAGGGAACATTCTAGACTTTCTTGTGTCCCCAGGCACTTGTCAGGTTAAATACCTCTAAATAGCATAGTGGGCCGCCCAGGACTTCCGGGCTTCTCCCCCTCTTTTTGCCTGATCCAGGACTTCCAGCTCCTCCTCTTCCCCTGCTGGACACTGTACTCCCAGCTCCTCCCCTCCCCCTCCCCCACCTCGGCTGTACCCCAGACTCCCAGTTCCTCTCCTTCCCTGCTGACCTCTTACTCCCAGTTCCTCTTCCTCCCCACTGACCCTGGACAGCTCCTCTCCCTCCCTGCGGGACCAAGGGCTCCCAGCTCCTCTCCCTCCCCTCTGGACCAAGGACTCCCAGCTCCTCCCCCTCCCTACTACCCCTGAAGCTTACACAGTGGGTGGGGTTGGCAGGTTGTACTCTTGGTCCTTCATCCCAGTCAGCCAGTACGTGGTCTCTGTCCCTCTTCCCTAGTGAGACAAAAAAAGGTCCCATGAAGGTGCTGTTCTCACCCGCCGCCCTATGATGACATGTTCCAAGAGGAACACCCCCCAACATTGCCCATCAGGGCACATGGCACATCCCTAAAATTTAGAAAAAAGTTAAGAAGTCTCTCACCAGGCTGGTCTTTTTACTTTCCTTTTCCCTCCCTTTCTGTTTTTGAAAATTTATTATGTATATTAAATAACTAATTACTTTATGTATTTGGAGGCAGGATCTTACACTATGGTCCAGGCAGGATTGGCGCTCACCATGGTCTCAAACTCATAGCAGCTCTCCTGATTCAGACATTGAGTACCACAATTTCAGATGTGAGCCCAGCCAGACAGGCTGTTTTCAAAATAGTTTTCTTTTTCCCAAGAAGATATTTCAGATTATGTTGAAATAGGAGTGGCGGGCTGTGTCCCGCCACCTGGCTAGCTTTACCCGAAATAATTACACGGAAACTGTATTCTTTTAAACACCGCTTGGCCCATTTCTATCTAGCCTCTTCTAGGCTAGCTCTCGCACCTGGACTAGCCCATTTCTAATAATCTGCTGTAGCCTACCAGCTGGTTTACCAGGAATGATCTTAACCTCTGTCTGTCTGGAGTGGGAGAATCATGGCGACTCTCTGACTCAGCTTCTTTCTCCCAGCCTTCCGTTCTGTTTACTCCACCCACCTAAGGGTGGGCCTATCAAATGGGCCTAGCAGTTTCTTTATTGCTTAACCAATGAAATCAACAGATTGATATATGACACTCCCACATCAAGATTACAGTATAGCAACATTTTAAGACCCCTACCTTAAAAACGAAGACATTCAGGCCCGAGGAGATAGCTCGTTTAGAAACATGAGGACCTAAGTTCCCCAGCGCCCCAGTACAGAGTAGGGTGCAGCATATGTCTGTGGTGTAGGAGGGTCTTCTTTTTATGTGTTGCTTTCATTGGTCAAATAAATTCTCACTACAACACGTCTGTAACTCCCACTCTGGGGAGCAGGGACAGGTGGGCTCCTGGAGCTCACTGAGCAGCCAGTCTAGGAAAATCAGTGAGCTCCGGGTTCAGTGGCAGAGCCTGTCTCAGGAAGTAGGGTGAGGCCAGCAGGGCAGAAAGCACAGACAGTGCTTGTCATACTGGCAGGGCTTAAAAGGCACTTGCCACGAAAGCCTGACAGCCTGAGATTGGTCCCTGGGCATGCTCAGAGAGGGGGAGAGAGACAACACACTCCACAGGGATGTACTCTGGTTACACAGACACACAGACACACCAATAATAAAAAATAAAATTTAGACCTTAAATAAGGCTTAGAGCAACTGGAGATGACACCCAGTTTTGACATCTGGTATCTATACATTACACACAAGAACATATTCAACACACCTGCAATGTAAAGTTTAGAGAAAGGAAGAGATGTATTTTGATTCTGCTGTGCTAACAAGCATATCATTTTCCACTGTGTGTGTTTTCTTTGTTTTGATTGTGTGTGTGTGTGTATGTGTGTGTTTAAGACAACACGCATGTGCTAGTCAGAGCCCAGCTATCTCCTTCCAGCATGTGGGACTGCTCTCCAGCAGACAGACTTGGCAGCAAGAACCGTCTCTCTCCAGCTTTGTATGTCCTTTTAACCTTTTACAACAAAGTTTTGAGACAAAATTGTTGCCGCGGCTTCATTATCTTGGCGCGTAATTACAAAAATACATGCCATAATAAGCACCTGGAAGAAACATTTGCTCATGGTGGGTGGGCGGGGCTAGGAAACAAATGGATACTTACACGAAATTCCATTTTTGCTAAGTTTTATATCTAAGGAGATCAGATGGGTCTAGATTAAGAGAGTATTCATAGCACTTTATTTTTTACAAGACTATAAACGGCATTTTAGAGGAATGATTGCAGGTTAGTAAATTTATTTGTAGAAGACTCAAAAACTGAGTGCGTTATTAGACAAATTTTATGTAAAATGTGACATTTCCCAATTTGCAACTGCAATTACATGGCACAGAATTTATGGGTCCTAGTGACAAAAACAGTGTTTGGTTAGTTGTCGGCTTCAGACCAACAGTGAAAAGATTCTGATCATTTTAAAGAGCATCTGAGAGGGGACAATTGGTGGCGTCACAGGGCAGCTGTGCCAATCATGAGAAGCAGGGAAAGTGCTTGTCATACTGGCAAGAGGACCAGGGTCTGAATCCTCAAAACCCACATAAATGCTGGGTGGGTTTTCTTCCTACTCATAACTCCAACCTCAGAAGACAGAGAAGCCCCAGGCCAGCCCGGCCATCTAGACGAACTGTATCTAGTCAGTTGTAGATTTGAATGGGAGACTCTGCTTCGGAAAATGAAGGGGAGTCCCAATAGTGCAAGTGCACACACATGTACGTGTACACACATGTAAGTGCACACACATGTATGCGCACACACATGCAAGCGTACACACATGTACGTATACACACATGTAAGTGTGCACACATGCACGCGCACACACATGTAAGTGTACACACATGTAAGTGTACACACATGTACGTGTACACACATGTACATGTACACACATGTACGTGTATCTAACACACATACACAAGAGAGAAAAAGTGAGACAGAGCATTGAAAACCTATAGCCTCGAGCCACAAACATCCGTGTGTCATAAACATCAGAATGCCTGTTCTGCTCATTCAGAGAGTCTCAGGAGGCCCAGCAAGGTGTCTGGATTCCTGCAGGTCAGCAAGGACTCAGTAGTGAGGAGTACCCACATCTTGGTAGCCAATGGTCCACTGATGGAGGAAGGTCATTGGCTAATAAAGGCACTGCCCTGGCCCATTTTATTGGTTAGAGGATAGGTGGGAGGAGTAAACAGAACAGAACGCTGGGAGGAAGAGGAAGTGAGCTCAGAGACTCCACAGCTCTGCTCTCTCGGGAGCAGACGCCTGAGAGAGACGCCATGCCCTGCTCCCGGGATGAAGCTCCGACCCAGGATGGACATAGGCTAGAATCTTCCTGGTAAGCGCACCTTGGGGTGCCATACACAGATGATTAGAGATGGGCTAAATTAATATGTGAGAATTAGCCTAGAAGAGAATGGGCCAAGCAGTGTTTAAATGAATACAGTTTGTGTGTTGTTATTTCGGGCATAAGCTAGCAGAGCGGGCGGCTGGGGTGCTGGGGAAGAGGCCCCGCCGCCCCTAATACTACAGTCCACAGCTTCAGAATGGTAAAAGCAGCTGTCGAGACAGCTATAGTAAAAAATGAGCAAATGAGTTTTGACTTCAGTAAATCCTGATTGGTTTGAGCTCTCGGGTTGGGAGGAGCAACTAGGGACAGATGTGAATATAGGTGGAGGAAATGGTAGCCGTGTTTTGATGCTGTCGTTGGTTTTTATTATTTAATTATTTTTAGATTTATTTATTTTCCTTTATGTATATGAGTGTTTTTGTCTGCTTGTATGTATGTATAGTGTGTGCATGCAATACCTGTGGAGACCCAGAGAGGGCACCAGATCTCTTAGAACTGGAGTTACAGACGGCTGTGACCCACCATATGGATGTTGGGAATTGAACCTGGGTCCTCTGCAAGAGCAGCCAGTGCTCTTAACCTCTGAGCCACCTCTCCAGCCTGGGAGCAATGCTTTATAGCATACTGGTCCCAGCACAGGGTATCTAAAGGGCTTGCAGGAGCACAGAGCAGTCTGAATTCACAGCTTGGATGGATGCTCTTTCTCTAGTGATGATGGATGGAGGTCCTGCAGGGAGAAAGAGAAGGGCTCTTCCCCTTTGTCTTTTCTAACTTTCTTGGTGGAGGGTCGCACGTGGCCCGCATGTGTCTGCGTGCTTGCTTGCAAGTGTCTGCCGTCTCCTTACCTTTAAGTACGTTTCTCCCCTCACTTCGTACAGAAACTGGCAGTCTGTTCTCTTCAGGATGGCTATCGTGGAGCTGCTCATGTGGATCCGCAAGGCTGGAAACACAAACCAGACCAATGAACGTCCCCCCCGTGCTGATGTCTGCTGTGGCCACGTTGGTTTCTCCCCGACTCTCGGTGTCAACAGCACTCTAAGCATCTCCTCCATCGAGGAAAAACACACACAGCTGTTTTAGTGAATGGGCCTTTTTAAAAACAGCGTCAGTGAGAAGAGAAAATACTACATGTAAGTAAAAGGGTCTGGCGTTGTGTTTTTAGGGTTCTGAATGTTGTCACTCCTAACAGCTAAGGTTCTGCAAACAAGGTGAAGATTTGGGTTCTGGGTTTTTTCAGACTTTCCTCTTCAACAGCACTATCATCTTCTGAAAAACAAGCGATGAGGGAGTCCCACCTAAAGGCCCATTGATAGAACAACATTGATAGAAGCTCGACAGCCACACCACAGCCATGACAGTGGCCAGAATAGCGGACACCCTCCGTGGACCAGAGGACCGCCAAGTGCATAACGCCACATCATCCAAGTCCTGTCCAGAAACCCTCCTAACAAGGGATTCATCTCATCCTCTGTGTTCCTCTTCCCGAGGCCATGAGAGACGGAGTAACTCCCCCAACATATGCAGATGATGGTTTGTATTTTAGTCTGAGTCTGCTTGACTCTCACCTCGTTCTTTTCTTGATGATTTGATTGTGCGGTACATGCTAAGAACGCATAGCCAGCCTAACTACCAAATCCTATCCTGGGTCCTGCTTTTGTCAGCTTTTAGACATCACCGGCCACTGCTTTTCTTCCCTCTACTCTACATTTTTTGCTCTTATCACTATATTATTAATATAGATAGAGCATCTACTGCATGTTTATCACTATCATTAATACTGATTGTCTACTGCATGCCGTGCAGGGTTCCTCAATTCTGCCAGACACACACCTTAGAAAAATGTCAAGGGCTGATCCAGTCTGAAGAGGAACCTGAAACCTTGTGCACTAACAAATTCCTAGAACAAATCAGTTTCTAGAGAAATCAAATAAACAGGAAAGGTGAAGCCAAGTCAGGGTGTGTCTGGTCCATGTCTTTCCCATTGGAGACCACACGGCTTACACAGGTCTATCCTAAAGTTCATGGTTAGTCCAGCTAGAACATGCCCAAATTCATTGCACATGGTCCAAAAATACAAAAACAGTCTAAAGCTGAAGGAAAAAAAGGCTAAAATAATCAGGGTAAATACAACAAAATCAAACATGGCGAGTCTGTTAACACAGGCTCAGTCAAGTCTAGCCCATGTGAGGGTCCACCTGCCTTTCACCGACACTTAGCACCTCACCACGATGTAGTGACGTCTACAAGTGCATCTACTGGAAGAATCTCTGCTCTCTATGAAAATTAGCAACCCCCCTTCTTACGGAGGCCAGTGGATTCCATCCTAGAGGCGGTGTTGACTGTATCTCCAAATAGGCAATAACGAGGCATCTTGATCCCCACAACACCAGCAGCACAGGGGCCTAGAACGAAGGACGAAGAGGAGCATCATTGCACATTGAAAAATGGAGCTGGGATGGGTGAGCGTCTCTCACAGTCAGGTTGTGAGGCTGAATACTTCAATGCACGGAGACACGGCTGAACACGTGTAATTCTTCTAATGAATGAGTGATGTGGTTATTTGAGGTCACCCAAACTCTTGTAAGAAAACCCAATGAATGACTTCCTGGCCCGCCAAGCTCTCTCTGGTAGCTGCCCTAAGTAGATGTTCCTGTCTCCCCAGGAAAACTTAATGTGACCGTTGGGAAGAAGGGTCATCACATCAGGGTTTGCAGGGACGACTGGATGCAGAGTTAAACATGAACACGTGAACAGAAGACTAGCTTTCCAGCTAGGGCAGTGGTTCTCAACCCTACTAATGCTGAGACCTCTTAATACAGTTGCTCATGTTGTGGTGATCCCAAACCATAACACTATTTTTGTTACTTTTTCATAACTGTAATTTTGCTACTGTATGAATCATAATGTAAATAGGATATGCAGGATATCCTATCCACTGGGCCTATGTGCCACATGTTCTTTTTCCATCCTCTGTTGTTGGACACCTAGGCTGGCTATGAGTTACCCTCCAGCTATGTGTTTCTGTAAGGCTGACTACTTATCTTCTCCAGTCTCTATATTCAAGGCTGTAAACTAAACTGGAGGCCAGAGGCTGCTCTCTACCCTGAATCTCTCACCTCTGCTCTCTCTCCCCCACCTCATTTTTTCAGACAGCCTCCAGCTTGAAACCTTCCTGACTAGGCCTTGTGGGACGAGGACTCGGAGCAGGCGCTGTCCCACCAACCTCACTTCTGTCTTCTGTCTGTAGATGCTCCCTGTCCATATTGCCTGCTGAAGCACTTTGGATCTGAAGGACACCATCTGTGAGTTGTTCTTTCTTAAGTAAACTCATTAGTTTGGTCTGGAGTCCAGGGCTACCACCGTGTGTTTTCTGTGGAGTAGGTATAAATGCTGGAGGAATCGGCCCAGCTGTTTTCCTCCGAACCGCATATTTTTAAGACAGTATTTTTCCTTTTCTAAAAAAGGATTTTACTTTTCATTCCGTGCACGCGTCCATTTCGTGTGGGTAGGTGCCCATGAACACAGGCACTGGAGGGGACCGGAAGAGGACCTCAGATCTCCAGGCTGTGAGCCGCCCAGCATGGTTGCTGGGAGCTAAACTCAGGTGCTCGCCAAGTGTAGTGTACCTTCCTCACCATTAAGGCAGCGCTCCAGCCCCAGGATTGCACTGTTCTAACAGGAGATGAACAGGAAGTTGGGACTGTGCGCCAGAAGGCAATAAGTGAGACAGTAGAGGTGACGACTTCACTGGAAGTTCAGAATGTCTGCGACGGCCATTCTATCCGTGGTGTTGTTTCAAGTGTTCTCTAGGAACTGGGTCTAACTATGCCAGGATGTGTAATGAACCCCACATTTGGCACATAGAGTTTAAGGAGTCTGACGAAAAGCAAATCACATCAAGATGCTCTTGTGTGCTCTGCTTTGAGTAACTCCCACTTGCTAGGACGCCCAACTCCTTACCAGAATGAACTCCAATGCGAATCCATACTGGGAGGCCAGGGAGGTGCTCCAACTCAAAGGTCCCTATGAAGCTGAGGATGTCCAGGGCCATCTTGGAAATGTCTACCGCATGTCGGTTGCCATTTCTCATAGGCAAACCGCTGGCCACCACATAGGCATCGCCGATGGTTTCTACCTGTGGGAACACGGTCTCATTAGTGGCTCTGCCCGGTGGGAAGACGCCAGAATGAATGGAAGCCTGCACTGAATGCACACACAAATCGGGGCTGGGAGCTCAGTAAGGGCACAGTTCTGTGCACCTCGTTCAGGGCCAGTTCTATGCCAGTTTCTCCAGGTAAGTTTTTCTAGTAGTCAGTTAACCTGACAACGAAACAGCTATGGAGGACTTTAACCATGTCACATTGTCTCATAATTATACAGATTGTGCAGATGGAGCGACAATTCTGCAAATGTTCAGATAATCTGGTTGCGGGGCTGGAGACCTGGCTCAGTGGTTGAGACTGCCTGCTGCACTCGCAAAAGACCAAGGTGCAGCTCCCAGGCCCACACAGTGGCTCACACCTGCTTGTAACCTCAGTTCCAGGGGATCAGATGCCCTATTCTGCCCCCCGTGGGCACCTACATGTAAGTCAGTCAGATTCTTTAATTATTTACTTTTAATTTCAGTTGTTAAGTGTATGGGTATGTGAGTGCCTCCTTCTCTGTACCAATTAAATAATCCAGCTGACCCTATATAATTTTAGTAATATACTAAATGACCAGAAAAGTCATCTTTAGTGATTATCATTTTCTACATAGTTTTTTTTTCCATCAGTAATTGTAGGTGCCTTTGGGAATCAAGCGTTTTCACAGTCTTGTGCTGTTACCCTAACTCCACTGTGTCCACTTCTTTCACAGTCAGCTTAAATGCTACCCATGGTTTTGGAGGTGATCTGAAACACTGTCACTCCCTCTACATTTGTCCCCCGAATTCATTTTTGCTGTAACTTGGTCCCCTGTACTTCTCCTTAAAGGTGGGGCTCATTTGGACGTCTGACCTCTCTCCATCCTTCCACACATCTTTTGTTTCAGCTTGAATTCAGCCACCACTTCATCAAGTGTTAGAGGTTTATCTATTTTGGGTACATGTTTGTATGTGCCTGTGTGTGGGCTTCTGCATGCATATAAACGCAGGTGCCTGGGGGACGACAGAGGAGGGTGACAGATCCCTTGGAGCTGGAGTTACGGGCAGTTCTGAGCCCCCTGAATTGAGAGCTGGGAACTGAACTCAGGACCTCTGGAAGAACAGGAAGCATTCTTATCAGCCTCTTGGTATCTGTTGGACGAGGGGTGACAGGAAGCAGGAGCAAGGGTGTCAGGCCCTGTGGCCTTGGGCTGCCCAGCTGTCTCAGCCTGAGGGCCAATCCGTTACCTTATAGACGTCATGGTGATCCACAATCTGGTCGAAACTCTTGTAGATGTCATTGAGCATGTCCACCACCTCCATGGGGGTGCTGTACTTGCAGATAGTTGTGAAACCGACAATGTCACTGAAATAGATCGTGACTTCTTCATACAGCTCTGGTTCCACGATGCCTTTCTCCTTCAGGGATTTTACCACCGGCCTAGATGAGGGAGGACCGAAAACCATGTTTAACCTCTGAAGAGTTTTCTTGCCTCAACATAAACAATTTAGATTGTAGCAACTGTCACCAGGATTCAGAAATTTGAGCTTTCTAATGAATTCCAGCGAGTGCCCAGGAAGCAAAAGGAAGAGATTGCATACACTTTGTGGATGAATACATTGCCCACACGCATGTGTATGTATGTATGTATGTATTTAAACTTGGATGAATAAAAGCATTTTCAACATTAACTTAGATTATCAATAATATACATAAATGCACAGCCCTAACACCTGTCTAACTCTAATACCTATACATGTCTCCATTGACAACCGACTTCAAACAAGCACAGCGCCATTTTCAGAAGCCTAGATGAGGAGTGCATCACTGACTAAGAAATTGACCCCAAGACTATGCGCACTACCCCTGTCCTCAGAGCCAACACTTCCACTCCTCTCATGTGCTTCATGGTAATATTTAATATCGGGCCAAATGAATAATGCAGTCATCGTTCATTTTGATATACTTAAATTGGAATTTGTTGGATATTTTGAACTAGATTTGAGTCCTTTGAAAAGTAAAGTCAACCACACTATATATAAGTTGCAACTTCTGCAAAGGATGCCAAAGGAAACCACATAGAAAGCCTCACTGGGGGCTGGAATGATGCCACAGCAGTTAAGAACACTGGCCGCTGTTCCAGAGGACCGGGGTCCAATTCCTAGCACCCACATGGCAGTTCATAGCTGTCTGTAACTCCAGTTCCAGGGTCCCTGACACCCTCATGCAGCCAAAACAGCAGTGCACATAAATTTAAAAAACAAAAACAAAAAAGAAAAGTTTCACTGAAGAGATGGAAGGTGCAGCTTCTCAGAGCAAGCAATACAACAGAAGCATCCAAATGGACCGGGACTTCCTTTAGGGGCCAAGATGCCTTTCCTTTGGAGGAGGAGGCATGGGAGCTGACTGGAGTTGGGCACACTCTGCTGCCATTAGAGTCATTTTGAGGGGAGTCTGAGCAGGAATATAGAACCTTAGAGTCAGAAGCTAGAAGCTGGGAAATGCAGCAGACCATGCGAACAAATCCCTCATTTTACTTTATTTTGTACAAGTGTTTGTTTGCATGTACTCATATACTACATGTGTGTATGGTACCTGCAGAGGCTGAAAGAGGGCACAAGATCCCTTGGGACTGGAGTTAGAGATGGTTGTGAGCCACCAAGTGAGTGCTGGGAACTCAGGTCTTTTGCAAGAGGAGCAAATGTTCCTAACCTCTGAACCGTCCCTCATTCCTCCATTTTTATATAGATAAGAAAATGAAGGTCTGAAAAGGAAGTGGGAATTTCTGGTGATCCCATTAGACAAGAATTGTTCCTAGGACCGAGCAACACCAATCCCATGCACTGTGAACTGTCTGCGACCCAGACCCTGGATGTTCAGGGAGATGGAGAAGATTTGGAAGTGAGAGTAACATTTGCAGAATGCCTGTGGATCTTCCAGAAAACCCATGCCTATCACCCGGTAACGAAAGTATTATTTTTGTCAACTAAGCATTACTTTCCAGGCAAGGGATTCTGCATAATACAACGAGGTTATGGGACGCGGTAACACCTACCCTTTTTGACATAGAGGTGGCGGTGGGGGAGGGGGCTCTAGTGTATTTTCAGAATGCTCTCCCAGCCTGTGTGTAAGAGCAGGAAGGCTCATGGTTCCATTGGGCTTTTCCTAGTCTCAGGGACTGAGTGGGGCATGTGTGCACCCCCCACCTCTCTGCCCAGGCTAATAGAGAAGAAACTATCTATCTATTTGGAAAAAGTCATCAGATTGGGAGGCAGTGGATCTGGGAGGGGTTGAGAAAGGAGTAACCTGGACAAGCCACCATTATGGTGTAGTCCAGCATGGATGTCACAGGCAGGTGATGGTTTCCTTTCTGTGACACTGGCCTCAGTTTCCAGGACTTTACTGGAACTTCTTACACTGAAGTAACAGCTTGCCACACCTTAATGAGAAGAGACCATTATTTCTCGCTTGTACAAAGCCATGGGCCAAACAATCATGGTGTGATTCCCCGTTTATCTTAACATCCTTCAGGAACGTATTCAAATGCCAGTGCTCCGAAAACATGAAGCTGTCTTGGGACTTCTGTCCCGAGTATGCCGCAGCTTCACAAAGAAGAGGCCAATGTTGGCTCCTGGAACCCCGGGTGGTGAGGCGGTGTTGCCCAACTCCTCTCCCACCGGCAGCCTCTACTTACGACTCAGAGTTCCCTGGTGACCTAAAGAAGGAAAGCAAAGAAACTAACACTTAAGGCCTGAAGGTCTCACGGTTCACACACTGCACAGGGAGACTTGAGTTTCTGCTTTTGAGACTAAGGACAGACAGACAGCGACTTGCCTGAAGGCTGTAGGCTTAACAAGGTGTCAGAACTCACATCTCTCTGCTCAGTCCAGGATTCTCTCAAAACGCCTTGCTTTAGGAATTCAGAGTGGAATCGGATGTGGGGCTCGGCAAGGCACAAGCACCGTCAACCCCAATAATCTGTTCCTGGATCTACAAAAGGAAGCCATCCTATACAGTCCCAAGTAAATATAAGGCCAGACCAAATCTAGAATAATCCCAGTAACAGTGAGAGGCGGGCACGCTGAAGGGTTCAGGTGGGAGCCCTGGAGCCTGGCTGTGGAATCAGGGAGGCTACGTCTGCAGGAGACTCGCCTTACCGTGGGAGCAGCATAAAGTTAAGGCGGTCAGCCCTGTCCCGCTCTGCCTTGTACAGCTGCGTCCTCTCCTCCACCAAGTGTTCCAGGTTTCGAGAATACAGCTGGAGACGTCGGATCAAGGTGTCCATGTAAGATTCATTTTTTTGGTCATGAAAAAGGCTGCAGGTGGTAATAGACAAAGAGCTCTTAGGCATGTCACAGAAGGGGCATGTGGGGTTCTCACAGTGTCACGTGCATTAAAGATAATGCTTACACTATATGAAAGCATGGGGAGGGGAGGTTCTAAGATGCCACCTCATTGACCGGTTCCCACTTCTGCTCTCAGGAGGAGATGGCTGTCTTTGTGTGAATATGTGTGTGTGTGTGTGTGTGTGTGTGTGTATGTGTGTGTGCACGTGTGTGTTTGTCTGTCTCTCTGTCTCTGTGTGTGTTTGTCTGTCTCTGTGTCTATCTTTGTCTCTCTGTATGTCTGTCTCTGTCCCCCCTACCGTGTGTGTGTGTGTGTGTGAGAGAGAGTACCATGATATAGGTTTAGAGGTTAGAGGACAACTTGGTTGTTCTGGGGACTGAACTCACTGTAGTCTTGTGTGACAAAAGCCTCCTGTTAAGCCATCTCTAAAGGTCTCAAGACACACACACACACACAGACACACACACACACACACACACACACACACACACACACACAGAGGCTCCCAAGGGATTCTTAGTTGGCTCCACCGGTAGAGGCTAGTTGAGCAGAATGGAATCAGGAGCAGGTACAAGGAATAATGATAGATTGTTTTATTTCCTTTGAATGGATTCAATTAAAAGTTTTCACATCTTGACTGTGAATCTTTATCACCTGGGGAGCTATTAAAACTTCCAGTGCCAGGTTACATCTGAGACCAGTTGCATCAAATGCTCTAGGGTAGAAGTCAGGTGTCAGGCTTTCCTAAAGTTCCTCAGGGAATTTCAGATGGGCAGCTATGTTTGAGAACCACAGCCAAGGCTGAAGACTGGGGGCCCCTGTGTCTCCCTGAGGGTTCATGTCATTGGTACTGCACAGCCCCTCTGACCTCAGTGACAGGTCAGGGAAGGAGTGCAAAGGGAGGGATTTAATCTGTTGTTCTTTCCTGCTACAAACGGAGCCATTCTGCCAAGCAGACCATGATCTCAATTAGTTTAGCTCCCACCCAAGCCTTGGATTCTCACCTCCCCCGGTATCTGGATCTTTGGACATAATGATACCTCCAGAAAGTCAGGGATGGAAGGAATGTTAGAAACCGTCCAGCTCACTCCAATTTTATGAACAAGGAAGTTGGTAGCCTGTGAGGGGAGGTGTTTTACCCTCTGTCCCTCAGCAAGCCATTATGGTACCCTACCATGGAAACTTGGATTCCTAGCTCTTGTCTGCACTGAGCACACAGCACCCAGAATTCAGTATCACTGGATAATGGGGTATACCCCCCACTTTGACCTTGAATGCTGTTCTGATTCAGAAATGCAAATCTAAAGTGTCTGGACCAAAGCTGGTGATTTTGGAGATCTTTCAAACTTGCTGACCTCAGGGGCTGGAGAGATGGCTTAGTAAGATCGTGCTGGCTTTCTAGAGGACCCAAGTTCATCTCCCAGCACCCCAGGAATCTGGCGCCTTTATTTTCCTTGGGCACCTGCACACATGTGCACAAATCCATACATCACACAAATAATTAAAACTGAAGAGTAGATCTTAAAAATATTAAGAATCTGCTAGTCTTAAGAATTACCCGTTTGGGCCTGGAGAGTTGGGTAGGTGACTAAGAACACTGGGTGCTCGTCCTGAGGGCCTGGTTGATTCCCAGCACCCTCACGGCAGCTCACAACTATCTGTAACTTCAGTCCCAGGGTCAGAAGCCTTTTCTGGCCTCTATGAGCACTGCATGCACATGGCACATAGACATCCATGCAAGCAAAACACCCATATATATAAAATAAGTAAACTTTAAAAAAGAACTTCCTAGGAGCTTTACAGAATCTCAGGACCCAGGTTAGACTTACAGAAGGGTCTGGAAATTATATGTTTCATTAATTTTTTCCATACAATATATTTTGACTCTGTCCCCCCCCCCCCCCCCGCCTTAACGCCTCCCAGGTCTTCTCCACTTGCCTACACACCCCAACTTTTATGTTCTCTTGGAAATTTTATTTTCTTTAAGATTTATTTTTAACTTATGTTTGTGTGTGTAGTGGAGGAACTGTGCCCTGAAGACAGTTGACCAGGAAAGCCAGAGGCATCATACCCCTTGGAGGGGGAGTTAAATTCATTGTAAGCCTCGTGATGTGGGTTATCTGAACCAAACTTGGGTCCTCTGCAAGAACAGTATGTGTCTTCTTCTTCTTCTTCTTCTTCTTCTTCTTCTTCTTCTTCTTCTTCTTCTTCTTCTTCTCCTTCTCCTCCTCCTCCTCCTCCTCCTCCTCCTCCTCCTCCTCCTCCTCCTCTTCCTCCTCCTCCTCCTCTTCTTCCTCCTCTGTCTCCTCCTTCTCCTTCCTTTTCCCTTTTTCTTGGTCTTTCGAGACAGGGTTTCTCTGTGTAGCTTTGGACCCTGTCCTGGAACTAGCTCTGTAGACCAGGATGGCTTCGAATGAGATCCACCTGCCTGTGCCTCCCAAGTGCTGAGATTAAAGGCGTGTGCCATCACTGCCTGGCTACATACAGTACATGCTCTTAACTACTTAACCGTTTTTCTAGCCTCTGGAAACTATTTTTTTAATAAAAATATGATTGATTATGATTTATTTTGTCCCTGAGCGCTTAACTTTATAAATGAGTATGTCCCTGAGCAGTGGCCTTTTTATCTCTGCATCATTTGAATTTTATGTGACAGGTGTTGGTTACAGCCTGAGAATTTTATAGACCTAAGCATTTTCATTCCCTGGGGTGGCTAAACGTCAGCTATCTATCATTAAGGAATCCAAGATTGAGGAAGAAAAGTAAAAAATGTCGGCAATACCCAAATATCTTGGCTAGTGTGCTTTCGATTTTCTTGAAATCTGGCCTCTTTTCGGGATCCTCCTCCCAGCAGTTTTTGACGAGTAGATAGACCTGCAAAGAAGAAGAAGGTGGCTTAGCTCGGGGTGCTAAACTCCAGGACGGAGTCTCACCGTGTTCTCCTCCGTGATCAAGGCAGGGGGCATCTCATAAAAATCTGCCGTGATGGCTAGGACCAATCTGAGGTTCTCCCCTTTTCATGGTATGGACCCTGCCACCTACACCACCACACCCAGCCAGCCTCTCGGGGGCAATTCATTGAAACGTGGAGACCGTTTGGATAAGGCTAGGTTTATGGGAGGGATTAAATGTTTTATGAGAACATGTGGTGTTTAGGGAGGGTAAAAAAATAATGAGGTTATAAATGGTTTACTCTGGAATTTCCCATTTAGTAATATTGGACCTCAGTGGTTGCTGGTAACTGAAACCACAAGGGGGAAAAAAGCTACCAACAAAGGAGACCATTTGACTTTCTCAAACGCGATTAACGGAGAAATCTCGAGAGAGGGCAGTTGTACTAGGTTCCCTGGGTGGGTCCAAATGGAGTCACTTGTGTTCTAATTGGCAGAAGAGATGAGAAAAAGCAAAACAGGAGAGGCAAGAGGATGTGACTGGGGCTACACGCCAGGAAAGCCACCGAGAGCTTGTTAAGGAGGCATCGGCCACCTCCCAGGAACCTGGAGGCCATGTAGCGTTTCTCTACATGAATACATTTTTGCAGTTTTGCCCACAGACTCTATGGTAGACCGATCGCTGAAGACCGGGAACACCGACTTACCTCCAGCTCCTTCTCATCGACAGTTTCCAGGAACAGATCCGGACGGAACGGTTTTATCCCATCTGAGTTTTCCACCCTGAAAATCTTCTCTGATTGGGATGAGAATAATTACATCACAAGAGGAACTCCAGCATGGACTGTTGGTCACCTCTGAATTGGCTCACCCCATGCTGGCTCTTTAGTCCAGTAGGAGTGTGACCGAGGAGAGTCAGGTGGGAGGAGTCTCCTCCCACTTCACAACCCAGGAGCTGCTAACACTTGAACACCTCAACAGCTCAGATTCTACCACTGCCTCCATAGGGCTCTCTCTGTCTCACGCTCCCTCCCCTGCCTCCCAGATCCCGCAGTCACCTGACCTCCAGTCATGGGTTAGTGCATAGTAAATGCTCAGAAAGTGAAGACCGGATGAACGGAGTAAAGTGCTTGCCCTCAGTGAGAACGGGACAGAAAACTAAGCCGGATGAGAATGCAGTCTCACTAGCAGGTGCTAGTCTAGCTAGTAGGCAGGTAACTTCCCTTCTGTGATCAGGAGGAGAGCCAGAGGGTGCAGGAAGAATGTGTGTATTGTTGTTTTGTTTGTTTGTTGGTTTTTTGTTTTGGCTTTTCTGAGACAGGGTCTCATGCAGGCCAGGCTGACTTTAAAGTAGTCAGGAACTTCTGATTCTCCTGCCTCCATGTGGTGGTTAAAAAAAATGTTCCCCAAAGGTAGCAGCACTCTTAGGAGGTGTGGTCTTGATAGAGGAAGTCTATCACTGTCCGGACAGACTTTGTGGTCTCTCTGCCTCATTTCCCTCTGTGTGACTGTCAGTCAACTTCCTGTTGCCTGCACAATGGAGGACTGTCAGCTACCGTCTGCCTGCATGCTGCCATGCTCCCCGTCATGATGACGGTGGACTGAACCTCTGAAGCTGTAAGCAAACCACCCCAACTGAGCTGCCATGGTCATGGTGTCTCTTCACAGCAATAGAAACCCCAACTAAGACACTCCACCCCAGAGTGTTGGGATCACAGGTGTGGACACTAGAAAGAGAAGGAAGATCCTTTAGCACCCTTGTGTGATATACATAATAATGGCACTTGGCCTAGCGCTCTAATCTTGAGCCTTTGCAATACTAGAATGTGCGACTCAGAGAAAGTCATTCCTTGAGCAGGTGAGAGGCCTGGAATATGGGACTAGAGATGGGCCCGAGAGTCTAGAGTGCAGATCGCCTGGCTCCGGGCCAGGCTGTGGAAGAGGTCGGACTCACCATTCTGGTCCCGGCAGCTCAGCGTGTAGAAGGTTTCCTTGCGAAGGATGATCTCCTGGGCAATGATCCCGAAGCTATAGACATCTCCTTTCTGAGAGATGTTGGCTTGGCGCAGGTGCTCCGGGGCAGTCCACAGGTCTGTGTGTGAGACGCCAACAGGACAAAGTTGAGGGAGGTGGTTTTACTTAGGCTGAAAGTTCAGGTAACAGACATCCGTAATCAGCAGACACAGCTGGGAAAAGCTGAGGACGATGGGCTATGTCTCACCTTATTAAAAGCTCTGTTTCTTTGCTTTAGGAGCCAACGTGGTACCCAGCAGGTCTTTTATAAGATCTCATTAGGACATGGGAGGTAGGCCCCGTGGGCAAAGCACTTGTGTGACAGTGACGACCCCAGAACCCATGTGAGTGCTGGGAGGATGTGGTGACTGCCTGCCAAGCCAGCTCTCAGAATGTGGAGACTGATTCCCCAGGCCGAGCTGGTCAGTCAGAAAGGCCTGATGGACAGGCCTGGGGTGTAGATGTGAGACCACCTCCTGCCTAGCCTCAGGCTTCTCTGGAGCTCACAAGTGAATGTGCACCCATACAAATGGAAATATTTAGTCCAATACTATGTTAAACTCACAGGATTGTGGAAATAGAGGCAGGATTATAATTTCTCCTCTACTTTGGAGGACAAAACCCAAAGGATTGTTACATAGAGTTGGAAATGAGACCTTCAATTTTGGAGCTAGAAAGTATGTTGGAATGAGTTCTAGATTTCTGAGGTCACTTCTCGGTGACTTGTGCTAAAGAACGGAGGGGAAAGGCTTGCATACCACCCTCACACAACTTGTGTGTCTTTGTGGTCTTTTTCTGGGCTTTCTCCACGATACTGAAAATGACTATGTAAGTTAGGTAGAAATTTCAATAAAGTAAAAAAATGCACAGACCTTTTTTTGGAGGTAGGATGGAATTGCACCCAAAATCTGTGATCTTCACCACCATCCGACTATCCACCACGCAGTTGGTGGACTTCAGACGCCCATGGACCTCAATCTTACTGGAGTGCAGATATGACATTCCCTGCAATGTTTCAGATGGTGAGAAAACAAAGAGCCATCGCAGGCTTTGACTGAACGACCATTTGAAGGAAAGAAACGACGTTTTGAGTTGATTTCTCTGTACATGTTGCCATGTTATCCAATTTTAAATTTGGTGCTGTGAACCTTGCTTTAAAGGGATTGCAAAAACCCCGGTGCTTGCTGGTACGCTGCGGGGTACAGCCCATAATAGGAACAAAAGGGACGGTGCGTGTAAGCTCTAGTGGGGTAGCTGCCCGCTGTTCAAGACATACGGCTTTGGGGTCCTGCATGTGAGGGGGTGGGGACACGTGTGCGGGTGCGTGGGAAGGAAGGTCAGACGTCAGCCTCTGGTTGTGTTGTTACTCAGGTTCCATCTACCTCATTACTTTTTTCTTCAATTGTGTTTTCTTTTTGTTGCTGTGTGTTTGACGCATGCGTGTGGGTGCATGCATGCCGCAGCATGCATGAGGAGGCCAGAGAACAACGCCCAGGAGTTGGTTGTCTCTCTGCTGTGAGTTTTGGGGGTTGTACTCATACCATCAGGCTTGTGGGACAAGTGAGTCATCCCTGAAGCCTTCTGGAAAGCCCCTGCCTTGTGTTCTGAGGCAGTCTCTCACTGGGAACAGAGCTTCACAGTTAGGCCAGGCTGATTGGCCAGTGAGCCCGGGCCAATCTGCCTGTCTCCTCCTTCCCAGTTCTAGAATTACAGATGTGTGCCACCATAGCTGATAATTTTTACATGGGTTCTGAGATTGGGCTCAGTTCTCGTGTTTGAGCGGCAAGCGCTTTACCAACTGAGCCATCTCACCAGCCCTGCTTTTCCTGTTTCCGTGTCTTCACTTACTGTTCATTTGGACTGTGATCATGTACGTGTCTCTAGCACTCTGCTGCCTTGATCTAAAAGGACTGATAAGACAACCTTACATTTAGGAAGGAAATGACAGAGCTGGATTACTTCCTAAAATCTAGCAGACTGGAAATTATTTCATATGGGTTTTATTTCTGACAAATCAACAAAAATGCGTGAGTGCACACATTATTTCTTCAAGTCCTATATACGCCATAGCTACCACTGTTGTCACTTACGGTGAACCGGCGTGGGTGAAGCCCAGTAACTTGTTACACTGTCTTACTTTCATGAATGCTTTTGCGTGCATGCCTCTTACCTTAGCAATGTCATATAAGACAGAGATCTTAAACTCCCAGTCCATGAATGTGCCATCGGGGTAAGAAATCGTGTCATTTAGAACTTCCTGAGGAGGAGAGAAAAACACACACACAAGGAAGAAGATGAAACACTGTGGGAAAGACGGCATGGAGAGATTAGGAGTCCAGTAATCCAATCACGGGGCTGTTGAGTAAGGAACACACTGGGATGCCATGGTTTTATCATCGCACACCATCCCGGGTTGTTTGACAGAGCTACAGTCTGAGAAGTGGGTTAAATGATTTTACTGTGTGACTGTTATGCGGTGTCCTCAGTCAAACCTAGAGCCCAGGACCTTCAAAGTCCAGACCACAGGGCACAAAGCCTCTAGACCATGGACATGCTTTAGTGTAGAATGGCTTTCTCTCCCACACTCTGACACAGATACACACACACACACACACACACACACACACACAGTCTCTCTCTCTGTCTCTCTCTTTCTTTCCTTCTCTGCACGATCTTGCTCCCAGGGTCATGATTAAAAAAACAACACAAGAATAAATCAAGTACCATCAAAATGACTCGGGAATCTTCAACAAGAGAATTTCTACCAGTGTGAGATCAGCCTGGACTATGTAGCAAAACCCTCTCTCAAGAAAGTAAAAAGAAAAGAAAAGAGGAAGGAAGGAAAGAAAAGAAAGTAGAGATGAACTGTGTAGCTGACTAACACAGCGTACTGCTCTAAAGTAAGGTATTTTTTTTCAATAAATGGAAGTATTGTTCTAAAATAATCAACACTATAGCATAGTAACCTAAGATAATGATAAAGCGTATGGTACAGGAAATACATAAACCAGAAACATAGCCATTGGCTGTCATTACCAAACATGCACTACACTTAGGAGGTGGAGGCAGGAGGACCAGAATTTCAAGGGCAACCTGGGCTATATAATTAGTTAGAGGTCGGCCTGGGCTATGTGAGACTGTCTCAGAACCTCCAAAGAAAGAAAGCAGGGGGCTGGAGAGATGGCTCAGCAGTTAAGAGCATTGCCTGCTCTTCTGAAGGTCCTGAGTTCAAATCCCAGCAACCACATGGTGGCTCACAACCATCTGTAATGAGGTCTGGTGCCCTCTTCTGGCCTGAAGGCATACACGTAGACAGAATATTGTATACATAATAAATAAAATGAATATTTTTTTTAAAAAAGAAAGAAAGCAGGTGTTGGGTGAATTTCACCATCAGGTAGGGGGGAAAGGTGAGCAGACACTGCCTGGAGACTGACCTTGGGGAGTCAGACTGAACAGCATCTGCCTTGCCTGCTCCATCTCACCAAGACTGGCTGGCTGGATTTGTTTTCTATGTTTTTAAACACTTTGCTTTTGAGGCAGGGTCTCCGGAAGCACCCTGTGTATCTGGCGCACACAGCCTGGAGGCAGAACTCCCTATGTCACCTTGAAGTTGTGATTCTCCTCGTCTTCCTCCTGAGAGCCATCAGCCTCCTGAGTGCCGGGATTACAGGCATGTGTGCCACCACGCCCGGCTGGACCAGTGTTTTCAAGCAGGGAATTGCTTCTGGGAATTCCTTCATTAGGCTTCTGTCTCTATTCTCAATGCTAATTATTTCAGGTGATTTAATTGCTCTGGTTTTTCTTTACATCAGCTAAGATCTCTGTCCTTAGAGAGCTCCTGGCTTTCCTAGGAATTGGAGGAGGTAGGCCTTACACTAATCTGATATTAGGGTGGATCCTATGAAGATATTTTGTTAAACCAGGAAGCCACTGTTTTCTGTATAACCTGGAGCAGAACAATTGCTTGTTTTAGGAAAAAGCCTGATTAGAGTCTTGCTTTAACTTGGACGTGGCACCAATAATTTCTCAGAAGGTTCTAGAGTTGTTAGTTATTACAGATGCGGCCGTGGCGCAAGGAGGGAGCTGAGAGCAGCCGGGACTCTCTGGAACTCCTTCCTTTCTCTCCTAGGCCCAAACACTTGCCCAACCTAGCCTGTTCTCATCTGTCAATGTGCACCACTCAGCAGGATTCTATTTCGAATACAAAAAGAACATAGCTATTGAAGAGCCCAGGAATGTGAAAATTGTACGCTTGTAGCCTATATGCTTACTTCTGAGTGTAGAAGGACGGACAGCCGCTTTATTCTCTGCCCTGCATTCTCCCAGGCAGGGGAAGGCAATTGAAATGAACCCACGACTATGTAAACATTTTGAACTAACACTGTAGTCAGAAGTCATCAATCCTGGATGCCCCTCAGATCTCAGAGGTACCCAGAGAGTGCTAGCTCAAGTCTTGAGACACTGAGATGCCCTGAACGCAGTAAACCCCAAAATGTACTGTGCCCTGTGTATGACCTTTGGCTATGAAAAGGAGTTTGTAGCCCTCTCTCGGGGCTACAGAGTCAGATAATTCTCTGCTGCCCTGACTAGTTAGAAGCCCCACACTCCACCCCATCACCGCAGTGCTTTTGAATAAAATGGCTTCTGGCTAATAGACTTCGGAGGTCTGTTACCCACTATTTGCACAATTCCGGGACCCAACAGTGTCTTTCATGAAGTGTGAGCAGAATTTGAAAGATATCAAGAGGTAGAAAAGAAAATCACCACCGGCTGCATCACCCAGCCTGGTCTCATTCTGGCATGCCCCCTCTTTAATTCTTTACATCCTTAAAGCACATCCCCCTGCGCTATAAAGTCAGATACGAAGGCTTATGTGCCACTTCCTGAGCTGTTTTAATATTTCCAGCTCTAGAAGGCCGGGAAGACTTATTATCAGAAGTGCATGTCATTTTATCAGTGTCGGTTCAAGTGATCAATTTCAGGTCCATTAACACGATCATATGGAGGATGAGGGGATGGTAGATTGGGTAAACCTCTTTCCTGCAATCCTAATGATGGGAGTCCAGATGCCGGCCCCTGCATGGATGTCAGGCAGCTACAGGGGCCTCTTGTAAGCCCAGTGTAGGGGAGGCTGAGATATCCTGGGGCAGGCAGCCTATTGAAATCCATAGACTCTGATTCAAGTGAGAAACCCTGCCTCAATATACAAGGTGGGGCGTGAACAAGGAAGATGACCAACATCGACCTCTGACCTCCACATTTACACACACACACACTTGTATACACACACACAACACACAATATACATGGCACGCACACACACACAAACAACACACACATACAATACACACACACTTGTATACACACACAAAACACACAATAATATACATGGCATGCACACACACACAAAAACAACACACACATACACAACACACACATACAATACACACACACCACAAGACACACATACCACACCATGCACACACACATTCATACACTGTATCGACATACAGATAATACAGTTGTTCTATGATCTTTAGTACAATACATTATCATATTTTTACTACACACAGAATAAATTCTATTGCTTGTGTCTTGCTTTGGGTACAACTAGCTTAATATTGCAGCACTTCATTGATATTTCCCTGTGTGTGTTCATAACCATAGTGAGGCTATAATCAATTATACGGTCAGTCTTACGCTAGCCTTGTTAAGTGTCCAATGATTCTGGAGGGAGTTAGCTTAGGTTCAGCTTCAAAACAGTATTTATACAGACAACGGGGATTAGGCATCAAAGTTTAAAGGAGTTGAGCTGACAGTCTTTGTGTGGGAATTGCAATTTCGTCCTTTGTTGGTGGTGTGATGACATGAGAAAACATGAAATATGTTTGTCTTCATGTCCCTCGTTCCTGGCACCGTTTCTAAACCCCGGGTCATTTCCTGACAGAGAAAATGGGGAAAGGCAAGAGAAAGAAGAGCTCTATTGCCCTTTGTGATGCGACTCTTCTAACAGCACAGCGCATGCTGACAGTTCTCCGTGGACCTCCACAGTGTACGGGGGAGGTCACCTGAGCTGGCCTCCTGAGTGCCGCCATTCCCTGCACCCCCTGCCTCCTGAGTGCTGCCATTCCCTGCACCCCCTGCCTCCTGAGTGCTGCCATTCCCTGCACCCCCTGCCTCCTGAGTGCTGCCATTCCCTGCACCCCCTGCCTCCTGAGTGCCGCCATTCCCTGCACCCCTAGCCCATCTGTGTGTTTGTTTATAAAATCAGGGCTGACAAGGAGGCTCAGTGGCTGAAGCTGCCACCAAGCTTTGTTCTGAGGTTCTAGATTATTATGAACACCAATTTATTTATTTTGTATACATGGGGTTGGGGTGAACGTGCTACAGCGCTCTCGTGGAGTTCAGACAACTTGAGTGAGTCGGGTCTCTCCCTCTGGGATCACATGGGACCCAGAGACTGAACTCAGGCCATCAGAATTACCTTGCCCACTGGTATCTGGCCACCCAGAACGTCAGAGTTCATGCCCAGCCATTCTGCAGAGTTGGGATCAAATTCTTTAGCCCCACCTAGAGTCCCTGCACTGGATTCCAGCCTATTCTTGCTTTTTTTGAGTCCTGTTTCTGGCACCTGCCCCTGCGTGCGTTGTGCACACCCTTCAGGGTGCTCCGTGGCTTGAGGGTCCTAGCTTAGTGCTTGGCTCTGCAGGAAACCTTTTTTTCCAGCTCTGGACTTGCTCGTCCATAATTCCAGAGCCCACCGGGCTCCTGCTGAACCATCCACTCCATCTGAGGGAGCGTGGGGTGAAAACTCCATGGGGCAGAAACAGGTCCTATAGCAGGTCACCTGATGCTTCCTGAGCACCTGTCCCTTGTGCCTTCGACACCGAAGCAAGGGAAATGATGTAAAGTGTGCCGAAGCGGGCACTTGATTTCCCTCTACTCTGTCCCTATGTCTACCCTGCTTTTCCGAATGGCTTGATTGTAATGATATCATAGGACTGGGGGACGCAGCCTGATGACTCTGCTCGCTCTTTCTGACAGCTCTCTGATGTCATTTCATTAGGGACAATTCTTAATTGGTTTTATGTGTGTGTGCATTTTGCCTGCATGTGTGTATGTGTGTATGTGCACCCCATGTGTGCGGGGCCCATAGAGACCAGAAGCAGATGTCGGATCCCCGGCTACTGGAGATACAGGCGCACACGGAGCCATCTCCAGTATGTATTTTGTTTGTCTTTTTCATGTAGAGAACCACTTAGGCAATAGGAAGTGACCATGGTTCCTTACCCGGAGGGACCCCCTCTCGCAGTATTCGATCACCCCAAAGATCCTGGTGTCCAGCTTCACAGTGCCGTAGAACTTGGTCAGGTTGTAGTAGTCCGACTGCAGCAGCTAGGAGGGCAGACGGCGAGGCTGGTTACAAACCAAAGCGGCAGGGGCAGGTGGGGTGCCAGGGTGGAGATTGATGCACCAGAGAAATGCGCTCCCTTTGAGATCTTCGGGAAGAAGATCCCACAGAACAGCTGGATGCCAGCATCCGCTTCTTCCCCCAAACATCATCTTACTCAACCACATTGAATAAACATTTGAAGTAGTTGTAAATAATACCAGGGCTGTGCTGTAGCTCACACCAGACCCCACTCTCGAGCACCCCGTGGTAGGCGGCCAAGAAGAAGCCTCGTCACCTTTTGCTCTGCCCGGGATTCTCCGTCAGCAGCGGCACCCAGGGGACCGCAGTGTTTGGGGGAATGGGATGAAGTCAGTTCCGAGGGGCTGTACAAGCACATACCTTGTTCAGTTCAATCTTCTGCTTCTCGGTGAAGTTGCCGTCGCTGTGTTTGAAGTCTTTCAGAATCACTTTCTGCAGAGATCAATTGCGGAAAGCGGGATTGCTGCAGCTTGTGCGTCTTTCCACAGACAATCTCCTGCCAATTGAGCCCCAGGACGGCAGAGGTGGTACCTGCCACTCACTATGAGCTTTTCCCAGAAGTCTGCTTGTGGCCCTATGGTAGCATAAACTTTCTGGAGCAGTCACAGCATGTGACTAAGGCTTCTATCTCTGGCGCCTCCTAATTAGGATGTCATAGGCTGGAGTCTGCGTATTTCATATAGAATGGAAGAGAAGAATGGAGGAGGGACAGAAGGAGGAAATGAGAAAAAGTGGGAAGAAAAGAGAAAAGAAAGGAAAAGCGAGGAAGGAAGGATGGAGCCCCTCCCTGATAGGAGAGTCTTGAGAACGAACCAAAGTAGAAGGGCTTCCTTCCCTGAGTGAACTGACTCTCACGCTTCCTTTTCCTTCCTGTTTTCGACTTCTCCCAAGAAAGCTTCATCTGTTTCTCCATGTCCCCAGGGCTCTGCCTTCCATGGGAGTCCCTTACAGCTACCTGGGCACCTCTACGGCTGCATTGTCCCATGTGTCAGAGTGCCCAACATACACCCAGACAGGGCAGTGAGGGTTGCTCTAACTACCCACGGGGTTCAGGGGAGCGGGGTGCAGTGGAACAGGGGATGGGGATTGGACTAACCGGAAGGGTTTAGAACAGTTGGAGGGGACATGATGATGTACAAACTGACGGAGTTTGGGACAGAGGGGGCTATACTAACTGCAAGGGTTCCCGAGTGGGCGCGGGGTGGGGAGCACTATGCCAACCTTTTTGTCGTATTTGCACTGCCGTAGTCTCTGGATGGTATCCCGTCTTTTGTCGTCATCAATCTGGCAGAGAAAAGAGCAGTTGTTACAGAACTTTGTGCCTGTCCTGTCCACTGCCAAAGGCGAAGGGACTCTGGGGTGGGGGGTGTCTGCTGAGTCCTCCACACCATGCAGGGCAGGTCCCCTGATGCGAACCGGAGTGCACCCGTTGCTCCTTCTGATCATGCCCTTCTCCCCAGGTGTCTACCACCTCATACTAGGGGCTTTCCTCACTCCCTCTCGTGGTCCTGGTAGAACCCAGAATTCTCTTGGCTTCTTGCCCCTCTGATTCTCCTTCTGGGGGAAACCTTGGCCTATGCCAGCTCCTGGCAGGTGCTCCCAGAGGAGGATCCTTCAAAAGCTCACTGCATTTGAGTTGCGATTTTAGGCCGAAAGGAAGCGAGATGATAGGACCAGGTCTCTGTCAATCCTGGGTTTGGCTAGAACTGCCAAGTCAGCTGGGTTTTCAAAAGAAGCCTGAAATGCCAGTTTTTATATAATATTCCATGATTTTCTATGTTGGCAATTGATTTAAAAAAATGTTAACACAGGCCAGGTGGCAGTAGCACACACCTTTAGTCCCAGCACTTGGGAGGCAGAGGCAGGCCTCTCTGTGAGTTCAAGGCCAACCTGGTCTACAAGGGCTAGTCCAGGACCGCTAGGATACAGAGAAACCCTGTCTCAAACAAAACAAACCAAAACAAAAAGTCAACACAGAACAACACATACATGTGTGTGCACCCATGTAAATGAACATATGTACACCATTGCAGGTTCGATATAGCTCCTGCCTTTCCTGCCACTGACTTCTGCTCTAAACACAGAAAAACAAGTTAAGACTTGGATGCCTTTCAGTTTGCATTTCATTGAAACTTGGGGTGCTGTGCTGGCTAGTTTTATATCAACTTGACACCTGAGTCTCCCTCTACAAATGGCACCAGCATGGGGCAACTACATCCACATGAAAACTAAGAGATCTTGGGAAGGAATTCTAGACACAAGAGAACAGAGTTAAGCACAGCTTCTTGGTAGCTGTATTTTTGTCAGACAGGCTCTGTTTGCTGGCAGCGTGCAGAGGCGTGGCTCCTCCAAGAGAAAGTTTCCTGAGGCAGCATTAGCAGAAAAAAACTCTGGCAACTTCCTGGTTTGTGCTAGTAGCAAGAGCTCTGGCTCTTTCGGGAGGTCCTGCACTTAAATGGGGTTGGTGAGCAGTGGGCTACAACTTGCTTAATGACAGCATAGACCTACTGCTTCCCTGGAGCTGGGGCAGGGAGCATGGCTCCTAGAGCTGCCGGTAAACCTACCTCCACCATATTCAAAAGGTCAAGAGAGGCAGAGCCAGCGTCTAGGGCTGCTGCGACCAAGCTGCCTACCATTTTAAAAGCACTCCTGGTCAGAAAATAATTACAGATGCACAACAGGACAGATTCAGACATAAAAGACCTCTAAATGAGACAGTGTGTTTAAAAAAAAAATGTACGTAGGCTTGGGAGATAAAGGAAAAAGAGTATAGACAGTTATAAAAAGAAGTAAATGGTTTTAAAAAATAAGACAAAGTTTTTAAAGAGACAATAAAAGTAATATAAATGAGTACAGATAGTTATATATTAAAGGAGTAGAGAAAAATAAGCCACGTAAAGATGGAATATGCAGAGTCTGGATTATGCATATTATTGTGTTTTCTTTGACTTTTTTTTTTTTTGACTGCAGAGAGACATTTGATTCTGGGGGCTGCTCAGCTAAACTAATTTAAAGGTATCTTGTCTTCAAAATTTGGATCTAAGGATATGTTGCTTTGGAAAAGAGATTATGCTTTTGTTTCCACAGCAGATGAGCACCTTTGGATTCCTTCCAGGCTAATAATGTGGTTTAATGAGACAAGATTCCCCCCAAAGGTCTCTATGAACCCCTAAAAATACTTCACCCAAGAAACAGCAGAAATTAGTAGAGAAAAATTCCCAAAATGATTGCTTATAAATGTTTATTTTTATTTAAAGGGAGATATGGTATAGAAATAAATACTTTGCATTGGTATGGATCTTTGTTTACTGACACAAATTTAAGGTCAATTTTGTTATATGTATATTTCCACTTTTTGTTTAAGGTATTCTGTTTGTACAGCTCATTTAAAAATGTAATGTAGCCGGGCGGTGGTGGCGCACGCCTTTAATCCCAGCACTCGGGAGGCAGAGGCAGGCGGATCTCTGTGAGTTCGAGACCAGCCTGGTCTACAAGAGCTAGTTCCAGGACAGGCTCCAAAACCACAGAGAAACCCTGTCTCGAAAAACCAAAAAAAAAAAAATGTAATGTATAATTTAAAAATACAGATTAATAGATAGCCATTTATAATAGTCAAACTTGCAGTCATGTTAGTTAGGTTTTCTAGATTATAGAGATATATTTCAAATGGATATGTGTTCTTCAAGCCTTTCAATGGCCTTCAGAATATGGTATTTAAAAAGTTTTAAGAATTTAGGATTTTCCATGACAATGAGACACATCTGCTCCTGGCAGCACCAATCTACTTCAAGAGGATGATGGGCATCAAAGAGGTTCCTTATGGAGTTTGCTAGCCATTTGGGCAAGAAACTGCTCTTGCCTGGACTGCTTGATGTTATGCTGTAAGAACTGAACATGCAGGACCCACAGAAAAATGACTGCTGAAATTGCCTAAAGAAGATAAGACAGTCCTTCAGGGTTTCTGCTTCATGAAAGAGTCTGCAGACATTCTATAGGACACAGAAGAAATTTCCTGCTTCATTGAAAAATCTGCCAAATACTAAGGGCCTGTAGGCTGAAGGCGGGTGCCCCAATCGTACAGAAGAACTCTGGGTGACTGTCCAGGCAGTGAGACGTTTCTGTCAACTCTAGAGTTGGAATGGATTTGCTTACAATGCACTTCCTGTTTACTTAGGTAATATTATATCCTTCTGCGGTCTTTGTTAGTGTTGAAGACAATTATAGTTTTTCTTAGTTATGATAAAAGATAAATTAGATATGAAACTTTCCAGATACAAATAGACTAAATAAGTGTAATTCTTGCTTGATACCTGCTTTGTTACATGTAATTTTACTATGTTAAAGTTAAAACTTTTGTTTTTCATTTAGACCAAAAAGGGGAGATGATGTGGGATTCCCCTCTGTACACTGTAAATATGTTTTATTACCATTGGTTAATAAAGAAGCTGTTTTGGCCAATGGCTTAGCAGAGTAAAGCCAGGCAGAAAATCTGAACAGAGATATATAGAGAGAGTAGGCAGAGTCAGGGAGATGCCATGTAGCTGCTGAAGGAGGAAGACACTCAGAACTTTTACCGGTAAGTCACAGTTTTGTGATGATACACAGATTAATATAAATCGGTTAATTTAAGATGTAAGAGTTAGTTAATAAGAAGCCTAAGATAATAGGCCAAAAAATGTTGTTATTAATATGGTGTCTGTGTGGTTATTCGGGTCTGAGCAGTCTCTGCCTACAGAGGCAACCCTAGTTGGGAAAATGCCTCAATAAGATCCGGCTGTATTCAGGCCTGTAGTGAATTTTCTTAATTAATGATTGATGAGGGAAGGTTCAGCCTATTGTGGGTGGGGCCACCATGGGCTGTGGTCCTGGGTTCTATAAGAAAGCAGGCTAAGTGAAGACACCATGGAGACCAAGCCAATAAGCAGAACTCATCCATGGTTTCTGCATCAGTTTCTGCCTCCTGGTTCCTGACCTGTTTGAGTTCTTATCTTGATTTCCTTCAATGATGAACAGTGACATAGAAGTGTAGCCCTTTCCTCCAAAGTCACTTTGGTCATGATGTTTCATCACAGCAATAGAAACCCGGACTAAGGCAAAAATTGGTATCAGGAGTAGGAGTATCGATATGACAGACCTGACCATGTTTTGAGGGGGAGGATTGTGGAAGGACTTTGGAAATTTGAACTAGAAAAGCCATTTAGTATTCAAACGTTGGTGAGCTATTCTGCTGGTACTTGGAAGATAAAAATATTGAGAGAAATGCAGATGAAGGAGGCCTGGCTTGTGAAAATCCAAGGAAAGGTTTGAGAGTTGCTTAAAGACTTTATCAGGCCCATTTCTATTCTGAATTAAGAATCGGTGGTTCTGGCTAGCTGGCACGGAAGAATCAGCTGTGATTAACGAGACATCAGAATCACTGAAGTAAAACATTTGCTCTACTGACACAATTGATGCTGGTCTGCCGGTAGTGAGAAATTAGCAGTGATTAAAAAGAGGCCAGCATCATTGAGGTAAGACCTTCTGGGAAGTGCTTCCTCAGAGTTAGCACTCAGGAGCTATGTTTCAGAGGTGAGCAAAGTTACACCTTGTGCTGCCAGCCAAAGCTGGTAGTGTAAGAGTCACCCACCCAGGTGGTACTTTTGAAGGCATGAGGGGTCAGGGGAATAATTGAGGCTTAGTACTGTGTGGTAGACTGGAGTTCCTGAAGAGAGGCCAGGAGAGGCTATTGGCAAAAGCACAGCTCGGATGCATCAAGAGGCCCCAGCATTTTAGAGATGCCAGGACCATGGGATGACCGCCAAGAGCAGCAGCAGAGGTGAAATGGAGTTTAGAAGGCAAGCCGTGTGCACTGCAGAGGGTGAAGTCAGAGAAGGGGCCCAAGCTCCTTGGAGAGGCCCAGAAGACTATGAGTAAATTGAGACATTAGACAGTGAGTTATGTATGCTGTTGAAGCTTGGTTTTGCTTTATTTGGCTTGTGACTGTACCCTGGTTCTTCTCTCTCAAAGTAAGAAAATATTTAATTAATCTTGATTTTATAGGAGCCCACGGTAAAAAGACCTTAAACTTTTGAAAAAGAGATTTTAGAACTTTATAGATTGCATTTTAAAGGAGACTGATATTTTTAAAAATACAACTTTTAAAGTGTTTTAAAATTTGAGTTTGTAAAATATTCTGTGTTACGATGTTTTTATTAATGTGTGACCTTGAAGAGGAAAAGAAAGATTATGGCTTAATAGCGATGTGTTTGTGTGTCAAGTTTGACAAGGGATCAATTGTGCTGGCCAGTATCATGTCAATTTGACACATGCTATATTCATCTGAGAGGAGGGAGCCTCAGTTGAGAAAATGCCTCCATTTTCCTTTTGCCTACATTACAAATGATAAAGAAGGCCAAATTTAGGGTTCAGAAAACTACAGGAAGGCTGCTGGAGCATGAAGTAAGCCTGGGGCAAAGGAACATGTCACCCATGTATAGCTGTGAATAGGTTCAAGCCACCAGAAGGTAGCGTGCAGGACGTGGAGGTGGAATACCCATAAGGCTTGTTGTTACTTCCTGTTCTCTTTCTCTGCTTTCTGTGTGTGGTGACATCATGTGACCGACCACATTGCTGGCAGAAAAGCTCTAAACTATAATGTGATTTTATGTCTGTCTATCAGCTCTTGCCTGACTTGTGAGAATTCACAAACTTTCTGTGCTTCAGCTTAGAAATAAGGATAATTCTATGCATGTGTCAGGAGGTAAGATCTTCAAGTATACAATTCATTTGGATTCAAACTGTAGTCACATTTCTGGAATTCCAGTCCTGTTACCTGATGGGCTCAGGAGAAGATGAAGCAGAGTGATAATGCATGTGGCATGTAAATTCTCAGTAAGTGATCACTATTTATCTATCTATCTATCTATCTATCTATCTATCTATGACCCTACACTGATGTGGGAAGTCCTTCTATATATGTATTGCTTTTATTTGTTAATGAATAAAGAAGCTGCTTGGCCTGTGATAGGGCAGAGTAGAGCTAGGTGGGGAAAACTAAACTGAATGCTGGGATAAAGAAGGCAGAATCTAGAGAAACCATGTAGCCACCACTGCAGATTGAAGTGCTGGAACCTTGCCAGCAAACCACAGCCACGAGGTGATACAGAGATTAATAGAAATGGATTAACCAAAGATACAAGAGCTATCTAGCAATATGCTTAAGTGATTGGCCAAGCAGTGTTGTAATTAATACAGTCCCTGTGTGATTATTTTGGGGCTGAGCAGCTGGGAACGAACAAGTGAGTTCCGGCAACACCTACACAGCTTCTCCATTCTTTGTCTTTCAGTGTGGTCATCACAGCTCTGCCAATGAAGCTGAGCAGAGGCTCCATATGGGGAGCTGGCCTTCCTGCAGTAAATGTGGGTGAGTTGTTCACACTGGCTACCATTTGCATTTCTTGAAAAATCTCAGCAGAGGCCTTCTCAGCAATGACCCAAACATGTGGCAGCTACTGAGTGTGAGGAGATGAATACCCAGGGTAAGAAGAGCCGACCAGCATTTATTTCTCTTCCAGGTCAGATGCGAAGACTGACACACTGTTAGGGTTTGAAGGTGAAATTCCTCCCATAGGCTCATGTGTCTGAAGACTTGATGCCCAAGCTGGTGATGTTACTGGGGGATGTTCTAGAACCTTTAAGAGGTGGCACTTAGCTGGGGGAAGAGGGCCACTGGGAAGAAAGGGGTGGGGCAATCCTTACAGATTGGAAGATCACAGGGCTCTGTCCTGACTGTTCTCTCTTTGCTGACCCATCGAGACATGGGCAAGCCATCCAGAAAGCCACTACGATCACAGCCAGAAGCAGTCCTGAAACCACGAGCCAAAATCATCCTTCCTCCTTTAAGTTGCAAACATCTAAATCTTGGATTCCTAAATGAACTAAAGTGTCCACGCGTGGCACATCTGCTACCACGCCACCAAAGTCCTATCATTACGGAGTCCTCATCAACAGGTAGATCACACCTAACTTACCTTCAGGCTAATCTGGCTGGTCTCGTTGGTCTCCAAAGGAAAGATATTTTCAGAAGGAATGTGGGACCATTTTTTCTGTCGAAGTTCATTATCTCTTCTGTATTTTCTGTAAAATGAATAGAACCACCAGGAGGCATTTATAAGCATTTGGCTTAGGGTTTCTATTGCTGTGAAGAGACACCATGACCACAGCAGCTCTTATAAAGGAAAATATTTAATTGAGTGGCTTACAGTTCAGAGGTTTAGTTTATTATCATCATGGTGGGACATGGCAGCATGTAGGCAGGCATGGTGCTGGAGAAGGAATTGAGAGCTCTACATCTTGATCCAAAAAGGCAACGGGAAGTGGTCTGAGACAGTGGGTGTAGCTTGAGCATATATGAAACCTCAGAGCCTGCCTCCACAGAGACACACTTCCTCCAACAAGGTCATATCAACTCCAACAAAGCCACACCTCCTAACAGTACCACTCTCTATAAGCTTATGGGGGTTGTTACATTCAAACCACCACAGCATCCATTCCGTTTGGCTCCCAGACTCTAGGAGAAACTTAGGACCTTGACCCTGCTGTCCTCAGGCGGTCAGACACTGAGTGTGGCCCCATGCTCTTGCAACTGCTAAGCGGGCTATTGTGGGCTTTGCTATTCTCTTCACTTCCCTTTCCCAAGCTCTTTGCTAAGACAATCATTTAGTATAATAAAGGACCTGGACTGAGGGTGAAAATGATGAAAGACAATCAAGGCAAAACCAGAAGCAAACAAAACCCTGACAACCTTGAGGGGCAAAAAAATGTAAAATCTGAAACCACCATTGATTCCACAATACTCCTAAATAACCCAGTTCTTTTCATGCCTTGCCCTTAAAACAAGAAGTTTAAGTCATGCCAAGAGGATCATGCCTGGAGCCCAGCATTTGGGAGGAGGAGGCAGGAAGATGAGGAATTCAAGACCAGCTTTGGCTACATAATAATTTGAAGGCCAGCTTGAGCTGTATAAGGTCCTATTTCAACAATTATCCCAAGGTACAAAGACAGTTTTCTAATTCCCTTTCTTCAGGCACTACACATGATACCGTATTGAGTTACAGTGGAGGAACACACTTTCAACTTCACGGATACCACGAAATACTTTTCCAAAGTAGCATGCCAATTTCCCAATGTGAGAGCTCTCATTTCCAATATTCTTGATATCATTATGCATTTTTAAACATTTATGATGTCTGTAAAATGGTGGCTCATTGTTTCTTAATTTTGTGTTAGTTTGACTTCTTTGGAGAGGCTATTTGCAGATATTTGCTGGCTATGTTATGCATCAAAGAGTTGGTATAGAGTTGTTTGTGTTTCGTGTTTCCTCAGTTTCATTATTATGTCATTTTCTTTTATTATCTTACATAAATTTTGATCTCTCTGTGTGTGTCTATATGGATTGGTATATGATTGGATGTGTATGAATTGGTGTGTGTCTGTGTATGTGGACTGGTGTGTGTCTGTGTGTGTCTATGTGATGATGTATGTGTTAGTGTATGCGTATGTATTTAGTGTGTGAGCATGTGTGTTATGGTTGTATGTCTATGGATTTGTGGGGGTGGGGTGTGTGTGCATGCTTGTGAGAGCATGTGAGCATGTGTGTGTGTATGGGTATTAGTGCGTATGTGAGAGAGAGTTGCTGCGGTCTGCAGGAATCACGCAGTGAGATTTCAGCTGAAAGATTAGGAGGCTGACTCACCAGAACAAATGCGTTCTGATGGAGAGAAACCCAGATTGCAAGGCTCTGGGCCACCACCTTTTAATATAGGGACCTCTGGGTACCAGCCTCAGTGTCCCCTTCAGGGCTCAGAAGGCTTACAGCAAGCGCGGGACTTAGATCTGAGGGTGAAATGAATTCCACTATGTACTCTTCTGCATCAGTTTCTTTATTCTTCTCCTGATCTTCTCCTCTTATTCTGTAAAGTTTCCAGTTCATATACACACACAAAACAAAGGCAGTTCTCTGAGATTGGACATCCCTTTATCTCTGAAGGTCCCAAATGTAATCTGTATGAAAGACTCCTTTCCTGAACACCAAATGGAAGATAGTTGCAGAGAGATGGCTTCTAATGTATCGCAGGGAACGAAGCCGAGATTAGACTGTGGGAACCAAGGTTATTGACTGCGTGACTAAATTTCCCACTGGAGGTCCCACACAGTGGGGGGAGGATGGCCCAATAAACCAGTACATGGGAAAGAGTTATGCCCAATAATCCATTCTCTGCTGAATCTTGCACCAAGAAAGTGTACTTATGACTTACAAGAGAAACAGTCGATAAGCAAAAAGTGGAAGGCCCAGCACTTGGCACACTGGGTTTGCCTCTATCAGAACACATTCATTATGTATTTTTTCGAGACAGGGTTTCTCTGTAGCTTTGGAACCTGTCCTTGAACTAGCTCTTGTAGACCAGGTTGGCCTCGAACTCACAGAGATCTGCCTGCCTCTGCCTCTGCCTCTGCCTCTGCCTCTGCCTCTGCCTCCCGAGTACTGGGATTAAAGGCGTGCACCCCCATCACCCATCCAGCCTTCTGCTCTATCAGCTAAAATCTCACTTCATGATTCCTGCGGATCACAGCATCGAGTGTTTGTGTATTGGTATCTGTGTGTGTGTCTGTGGATTGGTGTCTGTGTGTGTGTCTGTGTATTGGTGTCTGTGTGTGTGTCTGTGGATTGGTGTCTGTGTGTGTGTCTGTGGACTGGTGTCTGTGTGTGTGTCTGTGGATTGGTGTCTGTGTGTGTGTCTGTGGATTAGTGTCTGTGTGTGTGTCTGTGGATTGGTGTCTGTGTGTGTGTCTGTGGATTGGTGTCTGTGTGTGTCTGTGGATTGGCATGGAGTTGATGTATGCATGTGTATGTGTCTATGTGGATTGGTGTTTGTGTGACTGAGTGTGCGTGTAGATTGGTATATGTGGATTGGTGTCTGTGTGTGTGTGTGTATTGGTGTCTGTGTGTGTGTCTGTGTATTGGTGTCTGTGTGTGTGTCTGTGGATTGGTGTCTGTGTATTGGTGTCTGTGTGTGTGTCTGTGGATTGGTGTCTGTGTATTGGTGTCTGTGTGTGTGTCTGTGGATTGGTGTCTGTGTGTGTGTGTGTGTGTGTATTGGTGTCTGTGTGTGTGTCTGTGGATTGGTGTCTGTGTATTGGTGTCTGTGTGTGTGTCTGTGGATTGGTGTCTGTGTGTGTGTCTGTGGATTGGTATCTGTGTGTGTGTCTGTGTATTGGTATCTGTGTGTGTGTCTGTGGATTGGTGTCTGTGTGTGTGTCTGTGGATTGGTGTCTGTGTGTGTGTCTGTGGATTGGTGTCTGTGTGTGTGTCTGTGGATTGGTGTCTGTGTGTGTGTCTGTGTATTGGTGTCTGTGTGTGTGTCTGTAGATTAGTGTCTGTGTGTGTGTCTGTGGATTGGTGTCTGTGTGTGTGTCTGTGGATTGGTGTCTGTGTGTGTGTCTGTGGATTGGTGTCTGTGTGTGTGTCTGTGGATTGGTATCTGTGTGTGTGTCTGTGGATTGGTGTCTGTGTGTGTGTCTGTGGATTGGCATGGAGTTGATGTATGCATGTGTATGTGTCTATGTGGATTGGTGTTTGTGTGACTGAGTGTGCGTGTAGATCGGTATATGTGGATTTGTGTGTGTGTGTATTGGTGTGTTTCCTATATACATGTGTACACCACAGAGTACTTCTTCCAGAGGTCCTGAGTTCAATTCCCAGACACCACATGGTTGCTCACAACCATCTGTAATGAGATCTGGTGACTTCTTGAGGAAGAGACCTGGTCAGTTGTCCTCATCAACTTAGACCATGAAACCCAATATGGACAAGTTCAACAGAACCGCCATATTCGGCTGTCCATGCATGCTTCAGCATTGCCAGGGCATAAATTTCAAATTTTCAAATTCTTACTATGTAGTGTAGTGCAAGCTGGTCTCAAACTTACTTTTTTTTTTTTTTTTTTACTCAGCCTGGAATTATGGGCTTGAACCATCATACCTGGTTGTATGGATGGTTTCTCAGCTTCTTCTCGCCTCCACACTATACCATACAAGGATTCTGTGATCACTTACAACACACCAATAGAACTCTGAAGCAAGCTAGTTACACATTGCTTATATAATGTGGCCGTCTGGACACATGGCTCTTTCACAATCTTCCCAAACACACACACACACACCTTGGACAGGCAGAACCCTTTCCTTGGGATTCTAACCTACCCATATCGGCTCTGCCTTTGACACCACTTTAGATGCAGAATGCCTTCAAGATCCCAGGTCTGCTTGTTGCATCCAGCATTGCCAACAGACACCAGACCTGTGCTCCCATCTCCTCCCCACCAGGAGGGAAAGCCTGTGGGAAGGCGGTAGGTACCTCAGCACCAGGAGAGCAATCAGCAGCAGCAGAACCACAATCCCCGCGAGCGTGAAGACAGCGATCATCAGGATTTGAGGGCCTATGGCAAGGGAGGCAGGAATAGCACATTAGTGGGACCATGGATGAGTGTGAATGGCTCCAAGCTTCTCCTGCTGTAACATAACTTGATGACAGGAGAGGCAAGAGCCTCTCTGAAGAATCCCGATCTTTTTAAAATCTCTTCATTGGCGATAGGCATCCATCATCCCCAAGCTCTGAAGAAAGCTGTTGTATGTGCCCAGGGAAAAATGCTAACTACTTGGGTAGTAACGGCATGCACCTTTAATCCCAGCACTCTGGTGGCAGAGTTCAAGGCCCCTATGGACTACACAGAGAAACCCTGTCTTGAAAAATCAAAAAAACAAAAACAAAAAACAATAAAACCCAACCAACCAACCAACCAAACAAACAAACAAACAGAAAAAGGATTCCTTTTAGCATCGCTTGTTTTTCTTGGTGTGTGAGGATTATAGGGTTATAGGAGCATGACAACAGACACAGATGTGTAACACTTTATTTCTGACCCAAAACCATACCATGGTCATAAGAACATTATGTGGTATTCAACACGCAGAATTTGGAGGGCTCTACGCCTATCTGTCATTCTCCAGAACTGTGTGTCTAAAGAAGAAAGTGAAGGGTATCCTCAAATGCAGGGCTCGCATCCTAAGAAACTACAGTGCTGTTTTGCTAGTCCTTTCCAAGCCTTCTAGATTATGGAAGGGAGACAATAACAAGATTTTATTTGTTATTGTGTGTGTGTTGAGGAGATATCGTAAGTTCATAGATTGTCAGAAGGCCAAGTGGAATCCAGGAAAATGGAAATCTATCCCAAAGACCCTGGAAGGACATTTGAGGATGCAAGGGGACAGGTTCAGAGTGAGAAGGCCACAGGATAAACCCTCATAGGGGCGTCCTGGCTCCCATGTGCCAGGAGTTTCCCCACTAGACAGGAAGTTAGTGGGCTCAGTGTCAGGACTCAAGGTGAGAGAATAAATGTGTAAGAAGCTGGAAGATAATAGTATATGGTAAAGAAGACATGATTTTTCTGAGAGAGAGAGACAGAGAGAGAGAACGCACTTAGGGAGAGTTTCTTTAAAAAGGCAGGAGATCGCTTCTAAATAATGAATGAAGTTACTCCGGGAAAAGAGATAACAGATTTCCCATCAAAGTGGCAGGCACCCCACCCCGCATGAGTCTCTAACGTGGCACCTGAATATATAACATTCTTGCAGGAAGCAGCAGCCGGGGTGTCTACCAGTTCGCCTGCACCCATCTGGAGTAAATTATTATAATGGCTGAAAAGTCTGAATAAAAGTTTGTCCCTCCTCCTACTTATACTGAGACAAGAAAAAGGTACCCCCAAATATTAAAACGTGTTAAGAAATTCCTCTACCATAAACTTACGTCATGCTAGGTCCTTCTAAAAAGTTTTCTCTCCCCACTCTCTCCTCTCTCCCTCCACGTCCCCAGGCAGAGATCTAGCAAATGGCAAAAACCGGGGGCACTGTTCGGCAAGTGCAGGATTGTGCCCCTCTTTGCTTATCAGCTCGCTTTCCAAGGGACCTTTCTCCTCTCCGCTCCCACCTTAGGGCTCGAGCCTCCGTGGCTGTGTTTATTTGGACGGATTCTGTCCAGGACTGTGATGGGCACTTCCGCCACGCCCACTGCCATCCCAGTCCTGCTGCAACACAACCCTCCCACCTACCCCAAACAAAAAATCCGCCGAAGAAACACAATGCCCACAGCGTGGAACCAGAGCGTGAGTTCGAGGGATTCGGGTCATTTCAGTCCCTATCTGCAGAAAATGAGCGCCTCACTGTGCTAGACATACTCACCATAGTTAGATACTTAGGCCTATCTAAACCAGATAGGCTCACTGTTGTTGAGGCGGAGTCACATTCTGTAGTCCAGGTTGGCCTAGAACTCGCTTTGTAGCTCAAGATTGCTTCAAGCTCATGGGGGCCTTCCCGCCTCAGTATTTCAAATGCTGTGACTACAGATGTGAGCCACCGCCACACCTGGCTAAATGCAGTTTTTCACGGCTCTTCCTGGGTTAGCCGGGCTCACGCTGCTTCTAAGGCAAAGCCTTCTGCTGCCCTCTAGTGGCTACTATGGTTACTCTAGTCTGCCGGCTTCTCAATGAATGAAAGATGGCACGATCATGTCTAAGTCACATGACAGTACACCTGCACTTGTCTCTGGGTCATCTTTTGTTCGGTAGGATACGCTGCCCTCTCACGCCTTCCTTAGGGCTTTAAGTCAGTCATTTCTACTTAGTAGGAGTTCCAGACCAGCAGACATTTAGAAACAGCTGTATAGTTTGAATACAAGCAAGCCCGTCGGACCACGGATGCCCTCTTAGAAGTGGATCAAACTTCTAATTCCTGGCACAGAACACAGTCAGAATAGAAATCTTTTTCAGTTTATTTTTTGGTTGTTTGTCTTTGATGCTGTTGTTTTTCTAGACAGGGTTTCTTTGTGTAGGCCCAGTTATCCTGGAACTAAGTCTGTAGACCAGGCTGGCTTTGAACTCACAGAGATCCGCCTGCCTCTGCCTCTCAAGTACTGGGATTGAAGGGGTGTGCCACCACTGCCTGGCTCTGTAACTCAGTTTTTAATACTTTAAAATGTGATAAATGAATACAAACATTGTGAAAAAGAATTGAAAATTCAGAAATATGTAGAAAGGATAAAATTCTTTCAGGCTTTTATTACTCAATGGAAACTAACATCAAGAATTGACGTATTTCACTTCACTTTTATTCCTACAAGTTAGGGCCTTGTTAAATAGTCACTTTTTTCTATTCTTTGATGTTACTAGCTTCCTATCACTTCAAATTCTTGCAAACAAATCTCACTCGATCGTGTGATGTTTAATTTAAGAATACATTGTACATTTCTAGGACCATTAATGGCATTTTCACATCTTTGAGTATAACGGTGTGTCTGAATTTAAGATCTTCGCCTTAAGACGTTAGATTAGTAGTAATATAGAATTACTGATTGTTACAGTAAGTGTTGACCAAGCTAGTCACACAATGTGCTGTGCATCTTATGGTATGCGGAGGCCCCTGACTTCCCTGCTGAATAGGGCTAATAGTGTGTGTTCTCACCGTGTCTGGCTCACACGAAGGGCAAGCCTTGTCAAGGTTTGTAGAACCTCATCTCCTGTGTGTCACCACCATTGTCACCAAATGTATGTCCCGTGAAGGAATGGAGGAGGCTTTCGGGGCCATGAACAACTATCTCTCAACCTGATGTAGCACATAGTCCTTGCTAAAATGTAGAGAATGTTCCCTGAGTCTGCTGCATTAAAATGCATGCAGAGTAAAACAAGTCTTTCTATGGGTATTTATAGTTTACCCATTTTATGTCCCTGTTTTTTTTAGGGGACTTGCTTATGTGGGATCCATCTTCAAAACAGGGTTAGCTAAATTAGAATGTGGCTATACTAATGTAACTCACTGGGTTTGTAAAACCCACATTTATAAGCCCAGAAAGTCTATGTGAGATGAGAAGAAAAGGAAAACAAGCTACTTTATACAGATTACATGGATACAATGCCGGGGGAAAAGAAACCTCATTGAGAATGTCTTACCCAGCCCGGGAACATCATTAGGGAGCCTGTGGTCCTTCCAGATGAAGTTGGGGTTCGTAACCACTGGGATAGTTTTGTTTTCGTGGGTGTCATACTTCATAAGAATCTCATACTGTATTAAAGAAAGAAGAAGAAAAGAAAACCATGACAACATGCTTTAACAACTGAGGTGAGACTGACTATATGTGCATGTGGCTTTGGCAGGGCAGGATCTTGGTATTGTAGCCAAGTTTGATCTTGAACTCGTAATCCTCCTGCCTCAGCCTCTCAAATTCTGGGATTACAAATGTGAGCCACCACTGTCAGTTATTAATTAGGCTTCTCTGATTAAAGTTTTCATTTGATGTCATCTGCTAATGGAAACATTACTACAGGGTAGCCATGCTTTTTTTTGTTGTTGTTGTAGATATCGATAATGCTGTGTAAAATGTTTGAAACATGGCTGCCTGTCTACAGTTACTATCATTTCCTGAAAATATTCCCCATAGAAAACTTAGATCTCAAGGACTTTACTCTGGAGAGCCAAACCTTTGCATCTATGGAAGGTCAAAGTTTACTTGTACACTAGGCTATGGCATTCTGACCCTCTGCTGACACCTTCTCTAGATGTGGACTTGTGTCTTGCTAGCTCCCTCCTATGTTGTGAGCTCATCTCTGGGTTTCCCCAAATAGACACACTGTGTCATGTGATTGGAGGCAGTCAATTGCTAAAATGTTTGGCCAAATTTGCTTTGGGAGAGCTGTGTAGGGGAGAGTTCTCATGTGAAGAGCAGAGGCGTGGGTGAGGAAAGATCTCACCTATGCCTTTGCCTTTCTTCCATGGGCAGCAAGGACGTCATCCAGTTGTGTAAGGATGTGGGTCTGTGTACGGAAGCCTTTAGGGGATCTGACTAAGAGGCTTCCCCATGGTATGGATGCCCACTACATGTTCCTTTTTGCATTTCTTTATTTGGGAGGTGAGTATGTGTATCATGCATGTGGAGGTCTTGGACAATTTTCAGGAGTCGGATCTCTCCATGTGGGTCCCAGGGATCAGACCCAGGTTGTCTGTTTACAGTCAAGCACCCTTACCCACTGAGCCATCTTATTGGCTTCAAATATAGTATTTCCTTCAAGGTCCAATATAGTAACAAAAACTGTGGATTCTGTGAAACACTGCCACAAAGTTCCTGCGTTCCTTTCTCAGGATGAACATCTTTTCTGTCATTTTCACACTTGTCATGGTTGGTATCTCTCAAAACCAGTGTCAATACATATGCTCACGTATTACTTAAGCGTGTCATAATGTCCACTCTGAAACATCTTACAAATGAACACTCTTTTCTTCTGGAGTTCCAGTTTTGTCAGGGCCTGACCTCTTGCAGGAAAAGGTGTTCAGTGGCCACCTCTTGACTGGAACAGAGGCTCCCATGGTTTCTATGGCTCGGCTTTGGAATGTCTAAGGGCAGTAGGTTCCATTTTTAGGCTGGGTGCTGATCAGCCATGAACGCCGTTCTAGATGGGAAGCTCTGTGTGGAGACATGGTGTCCTGCTCCTTTTTAGAGGCTCTCTCCTAGTCAGGGTTTCCTTTGCTGTGATGAGACACCATGACCAAAACAACTTGGGGAGGAAAGGGTTTCTTTGGCTGTGCTTCATCGTCTCCGTTCATCATTAAAGGAAGTGAAAGCAGAAGCTCAAACCAGGCAGGAACCTGGAGGCAGGAGCTGATGCAGAGGCCATGGAGGGATGCTGCTTACTGGCTTGCTCACCATAGATTGCTCAGCCTGTCTTCTTATAGAACCCAGTACCAAAATGCCCAGGGATGGTACCATCCACAATGGTCCGAGCCTTCCCACATCAATCGCTGATTTAGAAAATACTCTACAGGCTATCTTACAACCCAATCTGATGGGGGCATTCTCTTAACTGGGGTACCCTCCTTTCACCCTCCTTTCAGACAACTGGAGCTTGTGTCAAGTTGAGACAAAACTAGCCAGTACAGGCCTTAACATTGAAGTGAGGAAAACCAGTGTGTGACGTGCACGGAAGTGTAGTGTCAGAGTGTTTTATGTTTGCCTGAGGGACTGGACAGTTCACAAGCTTCCTCAAAGTGCCGATGGGGAGAGCGGGTTCTTCGGAATCCGTGGTTTGTAAATTTCCAGTCTTTAGAAAAAGCTCGCCATCAGCTTGTTATCTGTTCATTGACTCTCTCCCTAGTCTGGAGTGTGTGTGTGTGTTGATTTCTGTTTAGACGTTCTATGAACTAACATGCTCAGGGACCCAAACCCCAAGTGAAGAACAAGTATGAGAACCGAGAAAGCTGAGATCTAACTGTAGATCCTGAACAGGGTCCCTCCTTCAGGGCTGGCCCTGGTCCAGGCTAACTATCCTTCACCCAGTCTCATTCCCCCGCCCCCCATGTTCTAATAAGAAGTCAGACATACTTTCCTGGTATCCAAAGACACATACAGAAGACACATAATGTTGTCAATGTCTCCACTGTCATCCAGAGTCACAGGTCCCGAAAAACCTAAGGGAGAGAGAGGAGAGCGTGTTGGAGAGCATCATTGGCTCTGGGCCTGACACAGTAGGGTCCTGATGGAGATGGTAAAATGGATTCAAATCACTCTATTATATTCTTTGCAAACAGCCCTCAATAGCTCTTGCCCCTGGGATTTGTGACGGGTGTGTTTTAGGGAAGATGTTTATTTAGAAGGAGAATTCCCTTTGTTTCGTTTAGGATGTGGCAGGTTGACACAGCACTCAATTGTCCATGACACATATTGACCAGGGACGCGGCTCACTCAGTTACACAGTGTATGGGGCACGGCACAGTCTACAAAGAACAAAATTGCTTTTCTATAGTTCTTTGGTTAAAACACTGAAAAAGGGGGCTGGACAGATGGCTCAGTGGTTAAGAGCTCTGCCTGCTCTTCCAAAGGTCCTGAGTTCAATTCCCAGGAACCACATGGTGGCTCACAACCTTCTGTAATGAGATCTGGTGCCCTCTTCTGGCCTGCAGGGATACATTCAGGCAGAGCACTGTCTAAAAATAAATAACTAGCCGGGCGGTGGTGGCGCATGCCTTTAATCCCAGCACTCCGGAGGCAGAGGCAGGCAGATCTCTGTGAGTTCGAGACCAGCCTGGTCTACAAGAGCTAGTTCCAGGACAGGCTCCAAAGCCACAGAGAAACCCTGTCTCGAAAAACCAAAAAAAAAAAAAAAAAAAAAAAAAGTAAAAATAAATAACTAAAATTTATTTTAAAAAACTGAAAAAGATACTTAAGTTGTTTATATTTCAATTACCTAACTACAAGATAATAGCAGTGTAGATTGACCATACAGAACGTATGGTTAGGAGGTGGGGAATGTTTGCATCTTCAAACATAACAGCTAGTCTCTGGGCTGCCAAGACAGTTTAGGGGGAAGAGAGCTTCCTGAAGACCTGAGCTCAATCCCCTAGAACCCACATAGTAGGAGAGGCCCGACTCCCCCAAGTCACCCTCTGGCCTCTGCACCCTGTGGCACATGCATGTGAATGCTCACTTATATGGGCAGCCCCAAGTAAATAAATTCAAATTTAAACCTGACACTTATTTCATGTTTACCAGACACCAGGTCTGTGCTAAATGGATCATGCACATTTGCCATGTTCTTCTCTCCAGAACACATGACATAGAAACTGCCATTTCTATTTTATTGACTAAAAGTAATTTTCATGAGACTCAGAGACATTAAGACATGACAAAGTTAGGACAGATAGATGTCTCCTGGCTCTGAGCCTGTGACAATGGTCATTGGGACACTTGACTGTGACCATGGCTATGACTCCCTAAGTGCCTGTCAGAACTCAGAACACACAGGTGATCAATACACGCCTCTCCTTGCTTCTTTGAGGAAGCAGAAACCATCTCCTTCTCTCCCTGTGGAAACCCACAGCCACGGGCGCAGCTCTCAGACCAGATGCTAACCATTTGCTACCTTCCGGAGCTGACAGAAGGCTCACTTTCGTTCAGACAAAGGTTTCCTCGGGCAAGACTTTAAGATAACTTCCTCCCTCCCTCCCTCCCTCCCTCCCTCCCTTCCTCCCTCCCTCCTTTCCTTCCTTTCTCCCTCCCTCCCTCCTTCTTTCCTTCCTTCCCTCCTCCTCCTTGTCCTCCTCCTCCTCCTCCTCCTCCTCCTCCTCCTCCTCTTCTTCATTATGTATACAGTGTTCTGCCTGCATGTAAGCCGGCATGCCAGAGGAGAACACCAGATCTCATTAAAGATGATTGTGAGCCACAGTATGTTTGCTGGAAATAGAACTCAGGACCTCTTAATCTCTTAGCTGTCAATCCAGCTTCAAGATAATTTCTTAAAATGAAATCTCTTCATAACTCCTGCCTGAGACCCAAGACACGAAAGAGGAGCTTCAAGAGGAGCGTGAAGGATGGGGGTGTCAATCCAGCAGCTGGGGGGGGGGCACATGTTGCTTTGGTGATATTGTGAAGGATGGGGGTGTCAATCCCACAGTTGGGTGGAGCGGGGCACATGCTGCTTTTGGTGTTGTTGTTGTGAGGGGGTTTGAAAATAGAGGCTTAACACAGGAGATGGGGTAGATCTATCATGATATGAAGAGGTAAAAATAAACCGACAAACATGAACCTGAGAAGAAAGGAGATGGGAAGACAGGTCACATGGTGGGTTTAGGGGACCGGGAGACTAGAGAAGATGAGTGGAGTAGTAAAACGCACTCCATTTGAAATGCCGCAGGTATATCTTGTATGCCAATTTAAAAAATAAAAATAACCTGCCAGAGTGTCTCTTCCTGCTAATCTCCAGGCACAGGCCACACACCCCTGTTCTAACAACCTCTGTGAAAGGCTGCTCGCAAATACAGTCCTCAAGCTGCGCACACATTCTGCAGCGCCCCCGCCAACAGCCAGGTCTGTCGCATAAACTGCAGTCTAGTTATGCATCCCAACGTCCGCAGAGTGTGTGGAAACAGTTCCTCCAGTTGAGTTCCAGGGTCTTTTGCAATTGAAGCATCAAATGCTGAAGCCTCTCTGGGGTTCCCACCGTCCCCTCCCAAAGCCTGAATTTCTTTGACTTTAATGCTGTTTGCTCTTAAAGAGACCGGGTACCTTGAAAAGTGAGATTCCTAAACGCACGAGCAAATTTGGTTGTGGTGATATTTTCTTTATTTTCAAGAAATTTCTTCAGCATGTGCCCAAACAGCAAGGTTCCCTCCAAATAAGCGAGAGAAAAGTCATTTCTTCCCTGAAGAAGAAAGAAAAAAAAATCTTTTAATGGGAAAAGGCGGTGGGGAGGGTTGATCTTAAGTTTGGAGCAAAATGTTCTTGGGATCAGTGAGAGACTAAAAAGATGAAATGGCATCAGGAGACCCGGAAGTGTGCTATTAAGGAGGACTGGAAATACCTCCTTGGGTCAGGGCTCTGTTGTCAGAATATTACTTTCTCATGGGATCAGTAAACAAGAAGCCTGCCTTTGGAGAAAGGTCTAGAAGCCATTATTCTTCTTTCTGATGATGGAGGAATACACACTTTAGCTAAGAAAATCAACAGCCAGCATTTTCGTGTTTATAAGATTGATGCAGAAACAGAATTTGCTCCAAGCTAATGTTTTCATCAGAATGTAAAAGAGAAACCGGAAGCCCAGAAAACAAGCCCCACCCCCAGTATCCAGGGTGGGATGTGAGGAAATTTGATTGGTTGATACCATGGAATGTGCTTTGAAGATGGTTTTAACTTAGGGTGACTTCAGTCCCCTCACGTCTGTCCTGACAAAATAGTAGAGTTAGCCACCTCTTCATCCGCTACACGATGCCTGTTGCAGGATTATGAATTGAAAGCTCTTGCCCCCTGAACCAGACAGGTTCTGTTTTCTCACGCATTTCGGACCTCCCTTCTGCCAAAGCCGAGAGCTAATTCAAGTTTGATGCACCTGGAATTACACTTTGCAGAAATATTAACAGGAAAGATAAGCCCCTGTTTCTTCTGCTGCATCATCATTTCATTACATTTATCTATTTATTTATCTATTTATGGATTGATTGGTTCATTGATTGGTTGGTTGATTGGGGAACTGCAGGTAGTGGTCAAAGGATAACTTCTGGGACTCAGGTCTTTCCTTCTACCATGTGGGACCCTGGGATCAAACTCAACTGATTAGGCTTGGTGGCAGGTGTCTTTTACCCCTGAGCTATGTGGCCAGTCCACAAAAATCATCATTTCACGCAATAAACAGAACTCAGTTAAGACCTTGCATTAAAGGGACTTATAACCTCTAATTTTGACAGGTCCGTGAACTGGTGTGCTTGGAACATACGGTCTGGGTAAAGTGGTGATGCTCACACCTCCTTACAGCACATAGGGACTTGTGCTCACTTGTCACGGAAAAGCTGTTTGGGCGTCTTTGGACTGCCCCTTCTTCCTTTACCATAAACCTCTTTCAGCTGAGAGCAGAAGGCGGCAGATGGCCAACTGCATCTCATTAGGGCTCAGTGACTGGCAGAGTTAAACGTGTCTTCAGAGCTTTGCAATGGAATAAGGTGACTATGATTTAACGGGAAGTGGAGGCCTTTTCTGGGACAAGTGCCAAACCAAAAAGGACCCTGAAACAATTGGGATACATTAGCTTCTCCTGGCACACCTCTGGACAACGGTCAGCTTCATTACGAAGGACACCACTGTCATGTCTTCACCTAGGAGTACCTATTTCAGAACAAAGAATTTGGGTACTAGCAACAGGAGAGCATTGCTTTAGCATAGAAAGAACTTTCTGGTACCTCTTTAGCTACTTTATGCTGTTTAATTTCTACCTCTCCTAAGTGTGAGACTACTCAGTAGCCAGGCTTCCTCTTCCTATATCCCCATATGGGGACTTGCTCTCCGATGCTATGGAAATGTCCGCTGCTCTCATGGTCTAGAGTCTAACGTAGTGACCTGCAGGGTGACGTTTGGTGGGATGCTGTACTTGCAAAAGCTCTGTACATAGCAGGAGTCCGTGGCATCTACTGAGCCAAGCGGAATTAGCAAAAGTGCTTGCAGGGCCTGAGGAGATGATGCAGCCCTAACGAACATGAGCACCTGAGTTCAGATCTGCAGCATCCATGTAAGGGCTAGATGTCATGGTACACTCCTGAATCCCAGCCCTTGGTGGGTGGGCTTTGGGACCAGTGCAGGGATCGGATCAGGTGAATTCCTGGAGCTCTTCGGTCAGTTTGTTCAGCTGCATCAGTGGGCTATATGGTCTAGCGGTTAAGAGCACTTGCTGTTCTTACAGAGAACCTACGTTCACCAGCAGCTCACACCTGCCTATAACTCCAGCGCCAAGGGATCTGATGCCTTCTTCTGACCTCAGCAAGACTCTCACCCACTTAGCAACCCCCTCATATACACACAAATAAAAAATAAAAGAAAACAGTGATCGATAGAGGAAGACAATATCCATCTTGGCTTCCTCATGCATGTGTGCATACACACACCTGCACAATAAACACATAGACACATATACATACATGCAAAATATTTCTTGCAAATATAAGAATCTGGGCTCAAATGACAGATTAACTTAACTACCTTACCCTGTGTCATCTTTAAGGAATGCTTACATAAACATACACACACAACTAACTCACCTGTGAGAACTGTCTGGAGAAAGAGGTGTTTGAGGGGGAGTTCTGAGGAGGCAGTGTCAGCACGAGGACATTGTCCATATACTCGGGAGCCACGGTGTCATTCTCAAAGTAATGGTTACTACAGTAAAAACACAGGGTCCTCGTCAAATTAGCATCCCAATACAGATGGACACATTACAACCCAGGCAAACTACAAGTAAGCTTTGAAAATTGCAGTTGTTGCTGTTTAAATTGAGCCATCAGGAAATCTTTCCACTTCCCCCATTAGTTTTCCACTTTACCCAATTCTAATTCCCTTCTCCACCTGCTAAAGTCAACAGCAGAACTTAGGCCGCTCTCTTTATTAACTGAGCATGGAAAGGAGCCCAGCATACAAACACATTGAGGGAATGTTTGCATTTGCTCTTAAAGAGGCCTAACTCCCTCGATCTCTGCTGAAAAACGTTCTTTTGTTTAAGTGTGCAAAACAAGTTGGAAACGATGGGATATGCCACATGGGATCTGGGTGTTGGGATTAATGAGTCCTGGCCTTCAGTTGCTTTTCCCTCCTAGAACCTTCTAATTGAAGTTACTAGAAGCTGTGCCTAGTTAGAGGATCAGAGGATCACGTGTTGACCATTAACTGCAGTGTATTTAACTCTACATGGTGTTAATAAAGATGGGCTTTCTGAACCAGCGTTTGGGAGCTGTGTGTGTCAGTCTGTCTCTGCATCTGAGTTCTCAACCTCCAGCCCCTTGCCTGAAGCTCAGTAACTGGGTGCCAGCGCACAGAGCGCAGACACGGGGGTGTAGTGCGTGGCATATGGGATTACTTCCCACAGTGCAGAGTAACACAGAAGGCTACTATATCCTCAGGACTGATTGGAAGATGGCAGGCCATGACACAGAACTGCTAGACATGGCAAGCCTCTGGGTACATGCATGTGTTGGGGATGGGGGAGGTATGTACAGTGTGTGTGTATACATAATACTCCTGTGTGTGTGTGTGCGTGCGCGCGTTCGAGTGTGTGAATGCTGACACCTTTGTGGCGCCCCTGTGGAGGTCCAAGGACAGCCCCAGCTGTCAGCTCATGCTGTCTAACTTGTTGGGGATAGATCTCTTTTGCTGTGGCTGTAAGCATCTGGAGATGGGACTGATCGGCACATAGAACACGTATTACCAACTCAGAGACAATGCTCAGCATGCTGCAGTCTGGGATCGCTCTGAAAACCCTAGGGTTTCTGTGCTCCCTGACCACGCGGGTGCTTTAGTATACAGGGTGACCGCTGAGCTGCTGTAGTTAGGATGACCTCATTTGATGCTCAGTCTGTGCTCTGCTGACAACCGCATCAGTGCTCGTGCTAACATTGCTATCTTACCCTAAAAGCAGACATCCTCAGAGCCATTCCACTGACAACCGCATCAGTGCTCGTGCTAACATTGCTATCTTACCCTAAAAGCAGACATCCTCAGAGCCATTCCACCGACAACCGCATCAGTGCTCGTGCTAACATTGCTATCTTACCCTAAAAACAGACATCCTCAGAGCCATTCCACCGACAACCGCATCAGTGCTCGTGCTAACATTGCTATCTTACCCTAAAAGCAGACATCCTCAGAGCCATTCCACCGTGCGGCTTAATCACAAAATGCTAACAAGCACCCAACAGAATCCCATGTCAGGGTTAGACGTTGAGAGCATTAGGCTTAGTTTTGAATCTCACGTCGTTCTTTAAACTTAGCCATCTGTCCCTTGGACCGGCGTCACAAGGAAAGCCAGTACGGTTGGTGGAAAATGAAATTATCCCAAACCGGCCACACTGCTGACTCCCTCCCCAGAGCAAAGCAGCTGTTGAAATCAGCAGGAGGGTGGGAGCACAATGCTGATTAACATCGCTCTGTCCCTGCCTGTCTGCAGCTAGAGAGCTAGATGGGCCGTCCATTTCCATGAACATTTAACTGTCAATCAGGCCTGCACTTCCAGTACTCCCTTCCCTCTCATGCTGGTAACTCGACAAGCACGGGGGAGCCACAGCGGAATGTGGCTCTCAGAGGAGGGCGCGCAGGTAATGATTAATTATCTGGGTAGATACGGGAGCTGATGTGCTTATGGGACAAGGGGCACAGCGCTCCCATGGCTCCTCCTCTGAGAGTAACTGGAGTATTGCTTTGGTACAGTGTGCTATATAGTGGCGCTCTCTCTCTCTCTCTCTCTCTCTCTCTCTCTCTCTCTCACACACACACACACACACACACACACACACACACACTGATGCTTTTCTCTGCTCCATGTCAGAGAAAAGGGTCAGCCCTGACTAACTGCGCCATGAAGGACAGAGGATAATTGTATAAATCAGATCCAGCTGACTGCAACGTCAGTCTTTCCAAAGATGGCTGCTGAAAAAGAACCTGAGGCTGAAGACCATTAGCAACTAAAGCAAAGCAGTGAAGTCTCCATCCTGAGGGAAACCATTGCTGAGTGTCTGGTTGTTGGATTGTTTACTGAGCAAAGATCTTACTATCAGCCTGGGAATCAGGATTCTGGGTACTCAGTGGACCTCACAGATGAGCGGCCTGGGGCTGCAGATGTAAGGCAGGTGTCAATGAATACATTTTTGCTTAAGATCACGGATGATCAGGTAAACATGAGGTGTTCTGAGAAAGGAACGAGGCTTTAGTTCAAATGTCGTCATCGTAGAAGCTGCCTATCACAGGAGAGAGGAGGATGTGCTGTGGCCATTGATATGCTACCCTTCTTCGCGGAGGAGGTTTTCCCCGGATTGTCATTATACCAACCTGAACAGGTCTACCAGGATAACAACAGTGTCTTCGGCCACTTTGATGTCAGCCTTCACGCTATAGAAGCTTTCTGGTGTGCCACACATAACAATCACTGGAAGTCGAAATGGAGACGGAGTGAGAGGCCACGTGCACATCAACCAGGAGCAGGCAGATCCCTGAGCCTAAACCCAGCATGTTCACGCTGTCTGTTGATACCGTTATGTTTCTCTCTCCTTCCCTCCCTCTCCCCTTTCTTTTTGAGACAAAGTCTCACTGTGTATTCCAGACTCGAGCTCACTACGCAACAGTCCAGGCTGGCTTTTAGTTCACAGAGATCCTCCTGCCTCAGCTTCTGAGTGCTAGGATTATAGGCATGATATACCACACCTGTCTCTCACCGTTACCTTTTGAAAGATTAACTCCGGTTCCCCATATCTCTCCAGCCCCCTTTTGCATCTAGATACAGAATCAGAATAGAACCGTGTAGAGCCTTTGAAATAGAAGCCAATACCAAAGGTGTTAAGGGTTGGAAGAAGAGAGAGCTTGTAGTAGGACTGACGTTTGTGAGCCCTGCTTCGGGGTGTATTCTATCATACAGGGTGCGGGGTGTATTCTATCATGCAGGGTGTGGGGTGTATTCTATCATACAGGGTGTGGGGTGTATTCTATCATACAGGGTGCGGGGTGTATTCTATCATGCAGGGTGTGGGGTGTATTCTATCATACAGGGTGTGGGGTGTATTCTATCATACAGGGTGCGGGGTGTATTCTATCATGCAGGGTGCGGAGTGTATTCTATCACACAGGGTGTGGTGAGTTGCCAGGCTATTCTCATCAATGAGTGGCCCATATTTCATCAAAAATATAAAGAAAAAGGCCATGTGAGAACACCTTATAGTATCTGTAAGCAACTATCTTTGGTCCATGCCTGTAGTTCCTTAATTCAGAACCCACCTTAGCCAATGGAAGAGCAGAATTACTCTGAGTCTCTACCGCTAATCTAGCTACTGCCTTAACATGTGGTTTAGGTGTGGAAAGAGCTAGAACAGACACTTCCTTGGATTTTCGCTGTTTAGAGATAGAGTTTCACTATTCAGCTATGGCTGTCCTGGAATTTTCTCATAAACCAGGCTGGCCTCACACTGTCTCCAAAATCCTGGGATTAAAGAAAAGTAAGCACCAGCACACAGGCTTTTGTTAGATCTTCTTGTATGCTCTGCCACCCAAGTGAACTGCAAACTCTTTAGGATCATGGATGGTTTTATGCTCCCCCCAGCCATGCCCCCAGTTTTATGCTCCCCCAGCCATGACCCCAGTTTTATGTTCTCCCCAGCTTTCCCCTTCTCCCTGTCAGATCTTAAAATAGCAAATTAAAATAGATATGTTCTTAAAATAGCAAATCCTTGCTCATGGCAGCATATGATTATTTAAATGATATCAGTGAGCTGCCACGTGAGGGTCTTCTCTTATAGGAAGTTACTGCAAATCGTTCTCTACTTCTGAGGTCCTTAAGAAGGGGCAGCCCTACAAGGTGTAGCAGGTCACTTCATAGTTTGGTGAAAAGGCTTTTATCCACTGGCCTTTCACACCTAACCTTTAGCTCATTGGTGAGATCGGGACCAGAAAAATGAGGAAGTGAAATCATCTTTTCTTGCTTGTGATTCTGTCTGAGGGGCAGTATAATAGTTACTAGACTACAGCTGAAGATGTTTGTGGTCACAAATCCAGTAAAATGTTGGCTTTGTTACAGGATAAAGACCCAAAGACCACTCAGCACGACTGATGTTTGAACCGAGAGTCTGCTTCCAGAGACTGCCTGGAGAGAAACCCTCCCCCAGAGCAGCTCAATGCGTATTATAGGAAGTTTTTAAAGGCAGAGAACACAGAAAACTACCTCCTGGTCAGCAGTTCAGGGGGAAGCAAGCAAGCTGTTTAACAAGAGCCAAGAATATGCAGTTAGCTGATGTGTTTCGACTGTGAGTTTCTAAAAACAGAGCTGAGTGCCTTCCCAAGCAAGGGCACATCAGAAGACAAGAACAAATGGTGTTAATTTCCTGTAAGGGAAGACCTCCACTTGGCGGGTAATTGACGTTGTGCAAATAATCATTGGCTGCTATCACAAGAATTTGTTATTGTATTGACTGACCAAAATCTGGGGTTTGGGGAGTGAGGCATAAAACCGTTCATGATCCTAAAGATCAGGGGCACGCAAAAATTCTACCAAGGAACTTCTAAAACTCATAAACACTTTCAGTAATGTAGCAGGATACAAGATTAACTAAAAAAAATCAGTAGCCCTCTTGTACACAGATGATAAAAGGGCTGGGGGAAGAAATCAGAGAATCAACACCCTTCACAATAGCCACAAATAGCATAAAATATCTCAGAATAACTCTAACCAAACAAGTGGAAGACTTGGACGACAAGAACTTTGAATCTTTGAAGAAAGAAATTGAAGAAGACACCAGAAAGTGGAAAGATCTCCCATGCTCTTGGGTAGGTAGAATTAACATAGTAAAAATGGCAATCTTACCAAAAGCAATCTACAGATTCAATGCAATACCCATCAAAATCTCAGCAAAATTCTTCACAGACCTAGAAAGAACAATACTCAACTTCATATGGAAAAGCAAAAACCCAGGATAGCCAAAACAATCCTGTACAATAAAAGAACTTCTGAAGGCATCACAATCCCTGACTTCAAACTCTACTACAGAGCTACAGTTCTGAAAACAGCCTGATATTGGCATAAAAACAGACAGGAGGACCAATGGAACTGAATCGAAGACCCAGATATTAATCCACACACCTTAGAACACCTGATTTTTGACAAAGAAGCAAAAAATATCAAATGGAAAAAAGAAAACATATTTAACAAATGGTGCTGGCATAACTGGATATCAACATGTAGAAGAATGAAAATAGACCCATATCTATTGTCATGCACAAAATTCAAGTCCAAATGAATCAAAGACTTCAACATAAAGCCAGCCACACTGAACTTTAAAGAAGAGAAAGTGGGAAGTACACTTGAATGCGTTAGCACAGGAGACCACTTCCTAAATATCACCCCAGTAGCACAGACACTGAGAGAAACAATAAATGGGACCTCCTGAAACTGAAAAGCTTCTGTAAAGCAAAGGACATGGTCAACAAGATGAAACGACAGCCTACAGAATGGGAAAAGATCTTCACTAACCCCTCATCAGACAGATGTCTGATCCCCAAAATATACAAAGAACTCAAGAAATTGGTCATCAAAAGAACAAATAACCCAACAAAAAAAATGGAATACAGACCTAAACAGAGAACTCTCAACAGAGGAATCTAAAATGGCTGAAAGACACTTAAGGAAATGTTCAACATCCTTAGTCATCAGAGAAATGCAAATCAAAACAATTCTGGGATTCCATCATACACCTGTAAGAATGGCCAAGATCAAAAACACTGATGACTACTTATGCTGGAGAGGTTGTAGAATAAAGGGAACACTCCTGCATTGCTATTGGGAATGCAAGCTGGTACAGCCCCTTTGGATGTCAGTGTAGCGGTTTCTCAAAAAATTAGGAAACAACCTTCCTCAAGACCCAGTAATACCACTTTTGGGCATATATCCAAAGGATGCTCAATCATGCCTCAAGGACATGTGCTCAATTATGTTCATAGCAGGTTTGTTTGTCATAACCAGGACCTGAAAACAACCTAAATGCCCCTCCACTCTTAGAGAGTTAGGTGTCAGTCAGCAGAAGTCACAATACCATGAGGCTGTTTTCAAATACACAACTTGTAGGCAGGCAGTGAAGCCAGTTCTACAGAGACAGACTAGCCTGAAGGACTCGGAAGGAGGTGACAGCCTTGAGGAAGGCTGTGCTCAATCTTACCATTGCTCTTCCTGTTACGGCCGATTAAGATTTCCTGGAACTGTTCTCTGCGTCTCAAGACATCCTTGAAGCTGAGCATCTCAGAAAAATAGGACACGCTAGCCTCCAGAGCATTGAGGTACCTGGAGCAGGAGGGAGAGGAGCTGAGAATTGGCTTTGTTTATGGCCATCCCACCTCTACTCTCATTATTTATTTACATCTGTGTTGGCATCTTTATCTCACACTCAGTTCTTCTGTGAATAGACAGTACACACCATGATACCTTTCCTTTGGATGTGGCTAGCTAATGGAGGCAGAGAGCATGGGAGGCATTTTAGGGACTCTTGATACCTATGAACACATTGTAGGCATTGGAGGGGCTCCTTCTACTGTTTTCCTCCTGCTATGGCAAGAAGGTTCAAGCCCTCTAGGAACCTCTGATGTCTGTTTTGGTGTGAATTGGACGCTTATATATTCCAGTTTCACACCAAGGTTTCTAGGGTGAGCTCCTGGGGCTGATTGCCGTGGGTTCCCAGATGCTCGAGCCTGGTGACACCCTATCTTAAACCTCCACGCAAGTCCTCTGTCGAGAGAGAGGGTAGAACCAGCTAGCATTCTGGGTCACCAGAGCCAGACATGACAAACACGCTACTTCCACCACTTTCCAGAGTTGCATGGCCTTATGATTCTTAAAGTTATGTTTTATTATGTTATGTGGTTTATGTGCATGTGTGAACATACATGCATGCATCTCAGCACATGTGTGGCAATCAGATGACAACTTGCAGGAAATGGTTCTCTCCTTCCCCCAAGTGAGTCCCAGGGATCCAAGTCAGGTCGGGTTTGGCAGCAAGCACCTTAACGCACTGAACCATCTTTTGGACCCAGACTTAAGGTTTTTTAAAAGGACCCATTGTTCCTGCATCCTCCTGTCCCCTTTTCCCTCTAAGAGAATGGAAAGACATCATTTCTGTTTCTTGGTTTAGGCAGCACGAACATTTTTGAAATTTATATTCCACAGTAATGTGGAAACCTTGACTTCTAGCTTTCATTTTTATTATCTATAAACAAGATCATATGTATTTGTCTTTAGAGGATTTACCCCGGGGAATCATTAGGATGGACAAGAATTCACTTTCAAACCGAGTGCCCCACATAGTCTGTGCTGAGCATCCTCATCTTGCCCCTTTGATGAGTAAGAAAGTGGACTGGTGTCCGTCCCAACACTGTCCCAGATAAAAGGTGGCATTCCTTCATGGCGTGCTCTTATCCCCAGCCTTCCATACCAGAAGCAGTCTTCAGGCTCCGAACCATTCTTGTAGACGTACGAAGAGTTCCAGGAGAAGGTTTTGAACGGAGCATCGTTGACTTTCCAGAAATCAACTAAGAAGTACATCAGCTTCCTGGCTGGAGGCAGCACCCTGGTCAGGGTCTCCTTATAGTCACAGGACAGTCCGAAACTTCCGGCTGAAATCATGGGGTAGCTCAGTTGTGTGTCAAGGCTGTGCCAAAGGTGAGAGGGAAACCAATGCCAAGGTTAGCTCCAATAGTGTAGAGAAGAGCACCCCCCCCCCCCCGCTGCTCCATTTTCCCATGCGCGCAGATGTGGAAAGGATGAAGTAGGCTTAGGAAAACAGGTGTATGGGTAATCTTCTCACCGAGGGGACTTTAAAACTACAGTGACTGGTCATGGTCTGTGTTTAGAGCAAAATGACCACATGGCTTGACCACTTTGCTCCATTTCTGAACGACTTCTCGTGCTGTCTGGGCTGAGAACTGTGTGCTTTGACGGGGGAGGAGTGAGAACTACAAGTTTACAAACCCACGGCTCCTCTCGTGGCTAGGTTCTTTTATTTGTCAACTGACACAAGCTAGAGTCATCCAAGAAGAGGGGACAACAATTGAGGAATTGCCTCCATCGGGTTGGACTCTAGGCAAATCTGTAGGCATTTTCTTAACTGGTTATTGATGTGGGTGGGTCCGGGCCAATGTGGGCGATATCGCCACTGAGTAGGTGGTCCTGAATTCTATAAGAAAGCAGGCTGAGAAAGCCATGGGGAGCAGCATCCCTCCATGGCCGCTGAATCAGCTCCTGCCTCCAGGTTCCTGCCTTGAGTTCCTATCCTGGCTTCTCTCCATTATGCACTGTGAGCTGAAATAAACCCTTTTCTTCCCAAGTTGCCTTCGGTCATGGAGTTTATTGCTGCAACAGAAGGCAAACCTGAAGAGGCAACATAATTGGCAACCGGAAGCATACCTATGCCTTTTCTCCCTTGCAGTGCCTGCTTTTTGGCTCTGCCTCTGAGCTTAAGGCCTTTCTGTCCTTGCTCAACCTCTTACTGTTGTATCTTCAAACATACCAAGTTCTCTGCTCAGTCAGTAACTCAACCTGTACAGGCTGCAACCCGGCTTCCTGGCTGATTTACTAAACTCTCAGGTCCTTGGCCGAACCTGTCTTTGTCACGGAAATGCTCCTTGACAGCCAAGGCCGGGTGCTGAGCAAGCAGCCACTGATGCTGCCTTCCTCCACTCCGCTGGAAGTTCCTCGAAGTGGGGGTCTCGGCTGGCTGGCTCACCTCTGGCTACCCAGCTCACACAGATGCTCAAGATCTGTGTGATGAAGGACAGAAAGCGGTGCTCTGCCCCACCTCCCCAGACTGTCTGCCTTCATCTCATGCTCATGTTCTAGTCTGTGTTATCCTTTCTTCTTGTCCCTCGAAACGTTAGCTTGATTGTGTTCGCGTTTCTTTCAGCGTTTTCACATCCCGAAGACTTCTCTGGTCTTAACCCCAGCTCTCATCTCCACATCCAATGCATCAAATATCATTGACTCTACAGCTTTAGCTGGCGTCTTTTGCTTTCTGCTTTCGGCTAAGCCAGGCCCAGGCCCCTCTTGTTTCCTGTGGTCTTTTCTGTTGTCAGTCTCTGCTGTGTTTCGCCTACACCATTGGTGGTTTTTATTAACTGTAAAATAAAATGATTTGACAAACTACAGTGTTGTCAAGGCAACAAATGAGCTTTTCACAGCCCTCCCACACTCAAAAACTTAGGGGTGTCTATTGCCGTCCTCATTGAGTACAACTCAGTGATCCTGTTGCATAAGTTACCAAATATGGTCAATGTGATTTTTCTGGCCTTCATCATCCTTCTGGACATTTCCCAGACTGCATAGCCATAAACACTTGTGAACTTTCTTCATCCCCCAAAGTCTTTGTTTTATGTTCACTTTTACCTCTACCAGGCTGCAAAGGCACTGCCTCACTTTTACCCATTGACACCTTACCTGCGCTGGCTAGTTTTTCATGCCAACCTGACACAAGCTATGGTCACCTGAAAGGAGGGAGCCTCAGTTGAGAAAATGTATCCATAAGACCCAGCTGTGGATGCCTGAAGGGCATTTTCTTAATTAGTGATTGACACAGGAGGGCTCAGCCTTTTGTAGGTGGTGCCATCCTTGGGCTGGTGGTTATGGGTTCTGTAAGAAAGCAGGCTGAGCAAGCCATGGGGAGCAAGCCAGTCAGCAGCAAGGCTCCATGGCCTCTGCATCGGCTCCTGGCTCCTGGTTCCTGCCGTGTTTGAATTCTTTCCTTGGCATCTCTCAACAGACAGTGACTCAAGATATGTAAAATATGTAAATCAAATAAACCCTTTCTTCCTTGAGTTGCTTTGGGTCATGGTGTTCCCTCACAGCAACAGTGATCCTAACTAAGACATTATCTGTCCCCAACACAAAACTCAGACGATTTTCGTCATGAAGTATTCCCCCCCCCCCCCCCCCCCCCCCGCTTCTCAGCCCTCAAGCACAGGTGACCATTACTTTCTGTGCCTTCTCATTTGTTCCTCTTTAAGGGAAGCTCTCTCCCTTTGCCTTGTATTGGCCAGTGTCCCTGTCACCTTCTCTTTGGAAGGGAGTATTCTACTCAATTTTTTTTTTCCTGCTTGGCAAGACTAAAAATGTTTGTGGGTAGAAAACTTTCATAGTGGTGGATCAACTTTCCAGAGTCCCCTTTTGTTTTGAGCAACACCAGTATGTGATCCGTGAGATAAGGAAGAATAAAATTCCACCCGTGTCTGTTTGGGTGTGGGAGACTGGCTGGAAAGCCCTTCTGCAGTGTGCCCAACGTGGTGGGCCTGAGCTTCTGGGGCTGTGTCACTGGGCTTGAGGCAACGTGTTGACTTTCATTAGAAATCTCAGATTTGTGTCGACCCTGTGAAACCTTCTCTGGTGTGGCTTCCTCTGGATCAGTGAACGGCATTTCTCAATTCGGAAGCCTGAGCGAGGGAAAGGGTGCCAGAGGAGTTCGCTGGGGAATGTGTGATCTGGCAAAACAAAGCCAGTTACACTGAGCGAAATGAATCGAAGTAGTCGGGCCAAGATTTCCAGAGAAAGATTTTCCACTCTAGAAAAGGTCAAAGGCTTTTCTCTAAGCAGCTAAGGGTGTCACACAGAGAGCTCCAACATGTCATTCCTAGCCCACTTGAGTACGTGACTCTGGCAGGCCTTGCCTTGTTCCCCCATTCCCAGCTGACATTCCTGAAGCTAGCCACCAAGGTCTAGGCCTTTATTTGGCCACTTCCTCCTCTTGAGGCTGACTACCAGCGATCAAAACTCCCTTTGACTCAATTAATTAACATTCCTAATTAAAATTTAACACATCATCCTAACATAGGGTTCCCCCTTTACTTTTGTAAGCTACCATTTGTCTATGGGCCACATCTGTCTCCCCTCTATCCAGAAGCAATCCTTTGTCCCTCTTTCCCTTGTCCCCTTCCCCTTCTCCCTGTCCCCTGTCTTCTTTACCACCACATCCTAGCCCCTTCTAACACAGACATCCCCTCTTCTCCTCTTAAAATGCCCCCTGCACGGCCATTTGCTGCTGTTTGCTGCCCAAGACAGAAAGCAGCCACTGTAACTTTTCTTCCCTGCTGCATACAGGAGCTCTCTGTGAAAACGGGTGTTGGTGTGGTTTGTGCCGAATCCGGGGCCTGGGAGCAAACCCCAACTGTTTGGGGTTCTCCTTCACTATTCATCTCAAATAAGCATAGGAAATAATCAGCCGGCTGTTTCCCCACATCTGCAAGCTAACGACAGGACAGAGTTCTAGGACTCCCCCTCCTCTGTCTCTCCCTTCTCTTCCTCTGCCATTACTTGTTGGGGAATTTCCCTCCCTAGGCTCAAGTGTTCAAGGCTGCCGACTTTCTTTTTTCCTGACGGAGTTCTCACTCACAGCTTGTTCTCTCTCACACTCAAATGTGAATGACTGCACCTGGCAGCTACTGTAATCATCACACCCTGAAGGGAAACAGCAAGATAGAGAGATGGCAAAATACAAGGGGCCCCAACATGCCTCTTTATGTTACCTTGACAACACGGTTGTTTGTTTAATCATTTAACACTCAAAAGTACTTACTACATCTGGAAGGTGGAATATGTGCAGGAGGGTCCCATGAGGACACAGCCCATGTTATGTTCTCTCTGTGGGAGATAAAGAAAATTACTGAGCCCTAAAAGAAACCCAAGCGGTCAATAGACAGAAAAGAGGTGGGCACTGTGAGAAATGAGATCCCTGAGAGTCTGTATGAGGAGCAGGGAGGCGCTGCTCAAGTGATGGGGATGGGAGGGGGGAGAGTCTTGCCTGCTCCTCCTCCCCATTGCTAACTCTGACTCTAAACAGGATTAAAGAACTCAAGAGAATTACAAGCTCTCTAAAACCACGTGGCTGTGCAAGGCATCTTGTAAAGGGCTTCTACCAGGTGATGGTGGCACACACCTTTAATCCCAGTGCCAGGACAGCTAGGGCTGTTACATAGAAAAGGAAAAAGAAGAAACCCTGTCTCGAAGAAGAGGACAACGATGAAGAGGAGGAGGAGGAAGAGGAGGGGGAAGAGGAGGGGCTTCAAAAGATTACAGATTGTGGGACCACGGTTCTAGAAGACTCACATTGACCTGATGGATCATATCATGGATGTTGGGATGGGTATACCACATCCACTACATGAATATCATATTTACTCTTAATCTTGGGAAGCTGGGTAAATTCTAATGTAGGGATAAGGAAATCCAAGGGAGAAAAAAAATGGTGTGGGTGTGTTTATCGAGTATTTGTATTTCATCTCTTTTGAGTGTGTGTTCATTTTATTAGTCCATTAATTGTTAGAGTTGCAACTTTTTGGTATTTAGCATTTTTAGTTCTTTGTGTATGGCAGCTATTAATCATTTGTCAGATTTTAGTTAGCAATGATTTTCTCTTATTTTAAAGATGGCTTCTTCACTTGATTAATTCTTTCCATTCCTGTACAAATCCTTTTAATTTTGTAAATTCCTTTTGTTGGATGTTAGTCTTAATTCTTGAACAACTGGTACCCTGCTCAAGAAGTCCTTGCTTATATCAAAATCTTGGAGTGTTTTCTCTACTTTTCCTACTAACGGTTTCAGAATCTCCAGTTTCACAGACAGGTTTTTGGGTCTATTTAGAGTTGATTTTTGTGTCAGGTGAGAGACAGGAATCTAGTTTCATTTATCCGCAGGTGGATTTCCAGTTTCTCCAGCACCGTCTGTTGAAGAGGCTGTCTTTTTCTTTTTTCCAATATATAGTTTTTCCATCTTTGAAGTCAGGTAACCACAGCTATGTGGCTTTACATCTGGGTCTTCGGTGGCATTCCATTGATCCATGTGTCTGTTTCTGTGTCAGTACCATGCAGTCTTCCTTAGTGACTCTGTAGGATAACTTGAATCAGATATGGTGACAAGTCCAGTGTTATTCTTTTTGGTCACTTCGATTATCTGGGCTCTTTGTGCTTCCATACAAAACTTCAGTTTTCTCCGCCTTATTGGTGTGAAGAATGGCATTGTACTTTTGATGCAGATTGCATTAAATATGTAATTTTTTTTTATAAAAGAGACATTTTGCCGGGCGGTGGATGGGTGGGTGGGTGGATGAGAAGACAGATGGATGAGCCAATGTGTAGATATATAACAGAGTTAGTGGAATGCTGGATGGACTAGAAGTCTCTCTGCAAGACATTACCCACCCAGGAGTAACTAGTCTTTAGTCTTTACTAAGAAGTCATGAGGAAGCTGGGCAGTGGTGACACACACCTTTAATCCCAGCACTTGGGAAGCAAAGGCAGCAGATCTTTGGGAGTTTGAGGCCAGCCTGGTCTACAGAGTAAATTCCTAGACAGCCAGACCTGTTACACAGAGAAATCCTGTCTCGAAAACCAAAATTAAAAAAAGAAGAGAGACATTTTTGCAAAATTAACTCTTTCGATTCTTGAATACTTCAGGCTTTCCAGTGTCCTTTCCAACTTTCTTCAGGGCTTTAAATTCAATGTGGTAAAGGCTTTTCACTTACTTTATTCCCAGGCATACACCCTAAGCAACTGCGCATTTGTGATTTTCACGATTGCATTTTCCTGATTTCTTGCATGCATTTCTGCAGCCAAAATAAGGTTGTTGGGTTTATGCTAATGTTGTGTCCTAACACTTTTACTGAAGGTGTTCAGCAGCTCGGAGGCCTTCCTTGTAGAGCCTTGGGGGGATCTCCTCCCATTTACAAAAAGAACACTTTGACTTCTTCCTTTCATATTAGTATCAGGTTCACTTCCTTCTCGTCATATTTCTGTAGCTGAGACTGTCAACATTTTAGCAACAAGAATGGAAAAAGTGGACACCTTTGCCTCTTTTTTCTCATCTTTGTAGAAATATTTTTTCTTCATTTATTATGATGTCAACTGTATGTTTATTATATATGACATATATGTTTGTCGTATATATATTTGAGATAGATCCCCTCCACTCGTAATATCTTCAGTGCCTTTATCATGAATGGATGTTAGATTTTTTCAAAGGTATTTATTGAAATGGTAATATGATTTCTGACCTTGAATGTGATGTGTTGTGTTTATTGACTTTTTTTTATTATCTAGTGACTTATTATTAAACTAGCCCATGTACCTCTAGAATGAAGGTAGCTTGATCATTGTAAATAATCTCTCTGACGAATCTCTGTGTGTGTGTATGTGTGTGTGTGTTCTTGTGCACACCAACTACTGCATGCACACGTAGAGATCTGAAATTGTTACTGGATACCTTCCTCAGTCTGTCTCAACTTTATTTTGTGAGATGATGATTTTTCACTAAACCTGGAGTTTATTAGTTCTTGTAGGCTGTCTCTTGAGCAAGCCACAGGGATCCCCCTGTCTCTACCTCTCCAGTGTTAGAATTACAGGCACACACCATCATGCCTGGCTGTTCTAGGGAACCAGATTCAGGTCTCCTCATGCTTACAGACAAGACTTTACTTCTGAGCCACTTCCTCAGTCCTCTGCTGCCTTCTTGAATTTGGTTTACAGAGTTTTTGTTTGTTTGTTTGTTGAATCTGTGTTTGTGATTGTCAGGGAGACTGGGCTGTGTTGGTTTTTTTTTTTAATTTTTTTAATTTTAAAATCCTTATCTGTTTCTGGTTTTGGTATCAGAACTGGCTCCATAAACGGAGCTTGCAAGTGTTACTCCCTTTGTGTTTTATGGAATGATTTGAGAAAGGTCGATACTATCTCTTTCATGGTCTGGTAGATTTTCCTCCATTAAATCCATCTGGGTCTGAACTCCTTTTGATTAGACGATTAAAACAAAAAACAAGCAAACAAACAAAAACCCAAAACTATTGCTTCAATTCCATGGCTTACAGATCTGTTTAAATTGTTTATCTTATCTTTGTTTCATTTTGTAGGTCATATACATCTAGAAATTTACATAAAGCTTCTAGATTTTCTAATTCATGAAACTAATTTTCCAGGTACATCCTACATCTTTCTGGGTTTCTTTGGTATGTGTTGTGATGTTTCTATTTACCTCTGATTTTATTAACTTGGTTCAGCTCCCTTTCAGCTAGTTTGGGTAAGACTTTGTTGGTTGTTTTGCCTTTTCAAAGAATTAACTTTTTGTTTACTAGATTCCTATAGTTTTCCCATTTCTGTTTAATTAATGTGAGTTCTGATCTTAGTTACTCCTGTCCACTCTTTGCTGAGATATGTCACTAGGTTTTTCGTGTCATCTAGCTGACATTCTAATGTAAGAACTCACAGTTATGAGTTTCCCTCCTAGGAATGTGTTCATTGTGTCCCAGAGTTTGGGAGGTTGCATTTTAAATTTCATTTGGTTCTAGGGATATTAAACAGGTTTCTTTTTAATGTCTTCAATAACCCATTTGTTACACAGTAACGTACTGTTTGATCTCCGTCACCTGTTAGTTTCCTGTGCTTTCTCTTGCTGTAGGCTTCTAGTAATATTCCATTGTGTTCAAATAGAACACAAGAAGCCATTTTTAGTTTTCCTGTATTTGCTGAGACTTGCTTTGTGACCTAAGATGTTACCTGTTTTAGAAAATATTCCATGGGCTGCTGAGAAGACACTCTGCAGTATTGCTGTTGAATGCTCTTTATATGTGTCTTAGGCCCATTTAAACTATTAAATCATTTAACTGTGAAGTTTTTCTGTTTGTTTGTTTGTGTGAGACAGAGTTTCTCTGTGTAACAGCTCTGACTGTCCTGGAACTTTCTTTGTAGACAAGGCTGGCCTCAAACTCACAGAAATCCGCCCGCTTCCGCCTTCTGAGTGCTGGGATCAAAGGTGTGCGCCACCACTGCCTGGTGCTGTTTGTTTTTTCCTCCCCTCAGGATGTTTACTAGTTAGAGTAGGATTTTAAGTCATATACAATAACAAAATTTTTAAACATATATCTAAAATAATAAATCTTTAAAGAGCTAAAATTTTAAAATTTTTACAGATTCAACACAATGCCCATCAAAATCCCAGCAAAGTACTCAACTTCATTTTGGAAAAGCAAAAAACCCAAGATAGCCAAAATAATTCTGTACAATAAAAGAACTTCTGAAGGCATCACAATCCCTGACTTCAAACTCTACTACAGAGCTACAGTACTGAAAAGAGCCTGGTATTGGCATAAGAACAGACAGAAGGACCAATGGAACCCAAAAGAAAACCCGGATATTAATCCACACATCTTCGAACACCTGATTTTTGACAAAGAAGCAAAAAATATCAAATGGAAAAAAGAAAACATTTAACAAATGGTGCTGGCATAACTGGATATCAATGTGTAGAAGAATGAAAATAGACCCATATCTATCACCATGCAATAAACTCAAGTCCACATGGATCAAAGACTTCAACATAAAGCCAGCCACACTGAACCTTATAGAAGAGAAAGTGGGAAGTACTCTACAGCACATGGGCACAGAAGACCACTTCCTAAATATAACCCCAGCAGCACAGACACTGAGAGAAACAATTAATAAATAGGACCTCCTGAAACTGAAAAGTTTCTGTAAAGCAAAGGACATGGTCAATAAGACAAAACGACAGCCTACAGAATGGGAAAAGATCTTCACTAACCCCACATCAGACAGAGGTCTAATCTCCCAAATATACAAAGAACCCAAGAAATTAGTCATCAAAATAACACATAATCCAATAAAAAAAATGGAGTACAGACCTAAACAGAGAACTCTCAACAGAGGAATCTAAAATGGCTGAAAGACACTTACGGAAATGTTCAACATCCTTAGTCATCAGAGAAATGCAAATCAAAACAACTCTGAGATTCCATCTTACACCTGTAAGAATGGCCAAAATCAAAAACACTGATGACAACTTATGCTGGAGATGTTGTGGGGAAAAGGGAACACTTCTACATTGCTGGTGGGAATGCAAGCTGGTACAACCCCTTTGGATGTCAGTGTGGCAATTTCTCAGAAAATTAGGAAACAACCTTCCTCAAGATCCAGTAATACCACTTTTGGGTATATATCCAAAGGATGCTCAATTGTGCCACAAGGACATGTGCTCAACTATGTTCATAGCAGGTTTGTTTGTCATAGCCAGAACCTGGAAACAACCTAAATGCCCCTCAACCGAAGAATGGATAAGGAAAATGTGGTACATTTACACAATGGAGTACTACACAGCAGGAAAAAATAATGACACCTTGAATTTTGCAGGAACATGGATGGAGCTAGAAAACATTATTTTGTGTGAGGTAACCCAGACACAGAAAGACAATTATCACATGTACTCACTCATAGGTGGTTTTTAAACATAAAGCAAAGAAAGCCAGCCTACAAACCACAATCCCAGAGAACCTAGACAACAATGAGGACCCTAAGAGAAACTTACATAGATCTAATCTACATGGGAAGTAGAAAGTATAAAAAGACAAGATCTCCAGAGTAAATTGGGAGAATAAGGACCTTGGGGGAGGGTTGAAGGGAGGAGTGCAGAGGCATGGAGGGGAGCAGAGAAAAATGTAGAGCTCAATAAAAGTCAATTAAAAAAAAGAAAATTAAAACTTTTAAAATTAATTTAAAATAGCAGTTTCCTTCACACCACAGTGTGCACATAGTACGTTCCAGGAGAACTCCATCCCTTGGGAACTCTGTGGTATAAAGTCAGGGTACCTTGGCATCAGATCATACAGCGGCTGGACCACTGCTGAGGCAGATGCTTTGTGTACACATGCCTGCATTTCACACGGCGATCCCCAGAAACAGAATGCATGGCCTACCCATGAGCAGATGGTACGTACCGTGATTTCCCTGAGCAGGTCAAGGCCTTCACAGGTGCTGCTCCGGCAGTCCCCTGACTTGTGGATTAAACCGTCCGAGTACATGAAAGTCGCGTTCACCGTCACATTTAGTCCTGTTACCAGAAATTAGGGAAAAAATCGGAAAGCAGTGTTATGGCTCCACAACGTACCCAGCTGTGAGACACCGCCATTGCTAATGGATTTCGGACCAGGGATGCGGGGGCAGTATCTGTGCCGGCTAATCTTGGTAGTCAACTTGACTACATTAACTAAAACCAAGCAGCCGCCACACCTGTGAGGGATTTCTCTTGGCTGGATGACTTGAGATCACAGGGGGGTCAGAAGACCCACCCTAAATCTGGGCCACTCCTTTTGGCGGCAGCCCACACAAAGCACAGAGAGAGCCAGCCTGTGCCTTTCTAGCCTCCTGCCTTTGCTCTCACTGCCAAGCTCACCCATCTGGAGCCATTCTTGTGCTGGCAGCGGAACGGACTTCTTCAGGATTTAACACAGACTGAAGGTCAGCCACTCTCCAGGACTCCCTGGGACTCCAGCACCAGACTGGGACTGCTGAGACCTCCAGACTGAACAATCCTCGATTCATGGTCTTTCTGTCAGGAGACAGCCTTTGTTGGATTATTTAGACCACGGCCTGAGAACCACTCCACTCAATCTTTTACCAATATATAGATATAAGTTAATTCATTCTGTTAGTTCTGTTCCTTAGAGAACTCTGCCCGAAAAAATATCCAAAATCAGGTCTGAGCATGTTCTAATTCTGAGTTCTTCTTTTCTCTCTTTCCCTTTTCTTCCCACCTTTCCTAAATTTTTCTTTCTCTCATTCTATTGAAGCATCATTTACTCATTTACTCATCATAGAACCCACCCATTCTGAAAATATGATGAAAGTGTGATTTGATAGTGTGTGTACAGTGTATGTACAGTGTATGCAGAGTCAAAAAATCACCACGGTCCAGTTTCATTATGCTCATAGATCATCTTTTCATAAACCCGGATGAGCACGCCTCCACCATGGACTCGAAAGCATTAGAAAAGCAGATACAGATTTCATCTTATTCTTCCTGTTCCCAAGTTGCTGTTACTTCGTGTGAGGTGCAGTCCTCCTTGGGTGCTGATTATCACCCATCCAACAGTCCACTCCATCCCTCCAGTGTTCCCTGAACTCTTCTATGTGCTCGGGATACAGCAGTGAGCAAAACCAGACCCTGGCTCCCTGAGGTCTACATAGTCTTCGGGAGATGGCACAGAATGATGCTGTTTGCCCATGACATGGTGATGGGAACCCTACTGCTGGTGCCAGGATCTGAGAGATGTAGGGATGTGAGCCAGGCAAACGTACGGTCTCTGGGTGGAGGAAAAAACCAACAGACAGGGGCATCCTTGGCATGTCTCAGCAGCAGAAAGGAAGCCCGTGTGCTTGCTGTTAGTGAGCGAGTGGGAGGATAGGCATGGAGTGGTATTGAACGTTCATATCAGGCGTGTATGTCCATTCCATTGAAGAATGGGATAGTTCTGGGGTATTTTGAGTAAAGAAATTATAATGTCTTATTGCCATTTTAAAGGATTTTTAGATAAAGAGTAGATTGTGGGGAGCAAGCAGAGAAAGAAGCAGGGAGACTGGTTAGGAGACTACTGGCAGCTTAGAAGAGCTTGGAACAAACTAGGGACAGCAAATTGGAGGCAATAAGTGGTTGCGTTTTGAGGGTAGAGAGTAAGAAATTGATGACGAGTAATTGCTTGAGAAAAAGAGGGTGCAGGTGTCGTCAATGCTTTTGTCCTGATAAATGGACAATGGGCACTGTTCCTGGTGAGTGAGGGACAAATAGGGGAGGGCATGGTTGTGAATGTGGAGTGCTGATGAAGGGATCAAGAGTTTGGTGGGAAGCCAGGCTTCATAAGCCTAACAGCTGAGAAACAGAGACAGGAGGATCTGGGATTTACGGCCAACCTGGGTTACATGAAAACCTCTTTTCAAACAATGCAAAAATACAAAACAAAACAGAAAACTCAGCAGATATACATTTTGGGTGTGAGCTGTCTATTGGGATTTCCCAACAGACGTGACAAGCAACTAAACATACCAGTAGGAATAGTTATCAGTGCAGGAACAGTTAGGGACTTTAAAAGGTCAAGAAAACACAGCCTGAGTCAACGCTGTATTGGGAGCATCATCCCATTAGCTCAGGTATAAGGAAGTATGGGCTTTGACACTGAAAACCCCAGAGGCCAGGAGAGGGCATAGGATATTTCAGATAGTTGTGAGCTGCTATGGGTGCTGGGAACTGAACCCAGATCTTCTGCAAGAACAGCAAGTACTCTTACAGGCTGGGCCGTCTCACAGCCTAGAACACCACTCTTTTGTTTGTTTGTTGTTGTTTTTGAGACAGGGTTTCTATGTGTGTATCCCATGCCGGGTTTAGAACACCACTCTTTATATTGAGCATTTCCTGAAGTCAGAGTGACCTCTATTCATCCCTACTTGGGGTGTTTAGATAACAAAGAGTTCCTACATTTAGGTGCAGACAAAGGCATGATGGTAAAATTTCCGGGTGTTGCCAGGTACCACATCTTAAGGATAATCAAGAGCTGGCAGAACCATTTGAACAGCTCTTTCTCTGGAATGTTGCTTCCAGTGACAAGAACTCAGGACAAATGTGGACTGGCCTTCTGGAAGTCAGGAAGTGACGTTATGAGTGACATTCTGTGTGTTCTTGCACAAACCGTTTGAATCTCCCTGAGTTTGGTTTCCTTGCATGGAAAGGTACATCAAAACCAGGTTTGTCCGACATGACACATTAGAATAATATTATCTTTAAAAGAGCAAAGTCTACCCAAAACAGAAGGAATTTTTCAGAGCATTCAAAAGCATGTGTTCCTAAAACTTGAGGCCTCCTACAGGAGTAACCCTGCCCTACAGTTGCTGCAGAGATGTGGCTGTTCTATAAGAAAGCAGGCTGAGCAAGCCATAGGGAGCAAGCCAGTAAGCAGCACCTTCCATGGCCTCTGTATCAGCTCCTATTTCTTGGTACCTAGCCGATCTCCCTTGATGAAGGACTATAAGGTATAAGATGAAATAAACCCTTTCCTGCCCCTGTTGCTCTTGGCCATGGTGTTTTATCCCAGCAGTTGAAGCCTTAAATCAGATGTCCCCCAAGGAATGCTTTCCATCCTTACCCCAGCACAGCCCGACCCCAGAGAGCTCAAGCCTCGGAAGATGGTGGAAAGCTGAAGAGCTGACTGTGGTCGCGGAACCTCCACTTCCCTCCCCAGGGCTTTGAGGATGGGGTTGAAGTGGCATCTCCATGCTGAGTGAGGTCTGGGGGGGACGGACCTCATCACATGAGACCTCACACAGGGTAAGGACTGTGTGTTTAGCCGTGGAACACACATCCCCAAGGATCTGAGGCCTTGGGGCTGAAGGAATCTTTTTCCATACTAGTTCTACCATTTTCTCCAGTCCTTTCTAATTATTCTTCAATATCCATGTAGCTTAACTAAGTTCTAAAAAAGCACAAACAAAAAACTTGTCACATGTTGAAATATCACAATTTAAATTATCAGTATTTCCCAATATAGCCCTCACACAGGGTTTTAAACTAGTTTCCAAATGACATGCTCGACATATTTAGAATACAATGTGTCTTTTTCATCTCTAACCTGCTCCTCTTGTGTTTAGTGTGTTTGAAAATATTACAGAATGGGTTATCAAGTGCCAACTTCTAGGCATCTCTGTTTCTTCTTCCACCTCCATACAACCATCTACTCACAAACCCATTCTTCCCCCTTAGCATTATAACTGTTACGTGAGATGAGTGACTGAAAATGTCACTCAGTTGGTAGGTGGTGGAGCAGAATTTCAGACTTGGGCTGCATGACCTCAGATTCCAAGAAGCGACCCAATACCCTTCACTATTTATCTGATGCACTAGGCAATGCGTTCTCTTAATGACATCAGCACGGTTCGCAGAGATGCTAAAACAACTGCCCTTTACGGAGTGCTCTTGTGTTTCAGTGCTGGAAGTACTCCCACAGGTTTTCCCATTGAACCCCCACTTTTCCCGCACACCGTGACTGCCACTTATCCTGATTTTATAGGTGAGGACACTGAGCTTCAGGGGAGTTAGGTAACTTGTTTCAGCTTGCTCAACGGTAAATAGACAGGAATACGAGCCAAGTTTGGAAATCTTTTCTGCAGATAATATCCCATTGCTTTGTCTTAATGAAAAGTGCAGTTAATGGTGGGGTATTACAAGGCAGTATGGTACACTCGTGGGACTCGGACGGACATGTGTCCGCATCTCATTTAAACGATACACTCACGGGACTCAGGCAGACATGGGTCTGCATCTCATTTAAATGGTACATGTGGGACTCGGACAGACATGGGTCCGCATCTCATTTAAACGATACACTCGCGGGACTCGGACAGACATGTGTCCGCATCTCATTTAAACGATACACTCGCAGGACTCGGACAGACATGGGTCTGCATCTCAATTAAATGGACCTTGTGTAAAGTGACTGAGACCAGTGTCCACCATGGCCCCATGCCCACCAGAGTTGTCGTAACTGAAGAGACGGTGGACTGAAACTCTCCAGAACTTCCCTGGCACATGACAGACACTCCGGAAACAAACGGAGTCTCAGAGAGATGGAGATGGAAGTGGTGTTGACAGCCAGGGAGACACAGAGAATCTTAACCCAAGTTCTTAGATTTCAAACCCAGCGTCCTTCCCACTGGTCCACACTGCCTCAGTACGCATGTGTGCGCTATCACATGACCTCAGCAGACATGTACCTGTTATTACACAGCCTCCTAGTTCTAGTGCAGTCTGGATCAGATCTTTTCATGTGTATCTGAATCTAGAGTTGACACAACTGGGAAAGTAATATATATGCACAGAAGTCAGTGCAGTTCTTATGCATATGACTGTTGCTCTCAACCCCGCGAGATTTTAAACAGAAAATTAATAGATGCCATCTTTAAGACCCAAAGTAACCATTAGGATGTATCGAGTAAGTACTTGGTTCAGTAAATACTGACTCAGTAATTCTACTTGTGGTAATGTAGTCTCGAGGGATGGAGAAAACTGTGTGTAAGGAAAAGGTTTGTAGTGTTATAAAAAAAAAAACCCACAAGAAACTAAAAAACAATTAGATATTTTTCTACCAGAGACTTTTATAGATAGTTTCAGTGGTATCTAGTCTAAGGGGCACCTTGTGAACATTCACATGGCGATGGCAATGTAGCCCTATGAAAGTCACGCGTGGGACAATACTGCATGACACAGAGGCTGCAAGACGTCCCTGTGCTGTACTGATCAACACATTCCCCGAGACAAGTCACCAAGAAAGAGTGTGCAGGTGGTGCCAAATTATTGTAGGCTCTTGCTTTTTCTTTACATGTTTTATGCCAAGTTATAAAATTGGTTTTTATTAGTAAACGGTAAGGTCGAGAAAGGCAACGGCTAACGCGACTGCAAACGTTTAACCTGGCCGTATCTGATAGTGAGAGCCACGGGAGGCAGGAAGAAGACACAGCCAGAGAAAAATCTTTCTATGGACAAAAGGCCCAGAGAAAGTTTCAATACCTATGTGAGTTTCTTCCTTCTTGACCAGAAACCCTCTGAGACCCCAGGTCCAGGCCACATCTTGCATCTGAGCAGCTACAGAAAGAAGCGCGGTGTCTCAGGCTGGGCAACAGATCCAGTTTTAAGCGGGGAGTCTGTCACTACTGAAGGATTCCCCTTTTCTTCCAGCAGGATGGGGTGGACTGTAAGCTCACCCTTCTCCACAGGAAGGAAAGGATGGGATTTTGAGATAAACGTAGAGGAATTTGGGCGATCAGGCAATCTGCAAGGTCTCTGCCCAGAAGCCTTGCAAAGAGTGGTACGGACAAGGGCGGATTCCTTTCCCACATGCTTACCGGCTTCACTCAGGCGCTCACGCACTATGACCAGGCCATCATTCACAGCCTTCTCCAAGTTTTCCAAGGGCTCATTGTAGGCCGAATTGTTCATCATCAGGACACTGATATGGTAGTTGCCATTATAGCAGTTCTTCCTCAACTGAGAGGTCCAGAATGTCCTCCCAGACTGGAAGAGCAGTAACCACACAGCCAAGGCCAGCAGTGATGTCTTCATGGCCCAGCTCACCTCAGCACCATGCCCCTGGGGTTGATGGCTTGTGGAGACGCAGTGAGACCCTTTAGACAGCCGCTAGCTGAGTCCTCTCTTCCCCACGCACCCTTCTGGTCTCGCCACACTGGTCACACGGGCCGTGAGACTCAGCCTGCCTGCCGGTAATTAGCAGGTACATTATGGTCCGAGGTAAAGCAAAGTTCACTCTGTGTGTTTGCACACAGAAAGGTCAGAGCTATAAACGGCAGGATTACCAGGGCCCCGTCCAATAAAACTACGCCAGTTTGTGCCACATCACTGGGAAGAGGGAAGAGAGGAAGGGAGCAGTATATTTTACATAACAGGCTTTATGAAATGGAAAATAAAGGTCGAAGGGCTTCTGGAAAGCGCACACGTGATGGCTTTAGCTGCACAGCAAAATGGAAACCTCTACCAGGAAGAGCTGGGCATCCATCACCCGGGGAGTCTCCATGTAGCGCTACTTCACCATGTGTGGGACAGTAGCAAGGCTCTGGGGACGCAGTCATGAATGGTGCGGACACATGAATGTCCTTGTGCATCCTGCACTTGTTCGGATGGAGCAGATAAACATCAGGCCGATGGACAGCTAACATCAACAACGAAGAAAAGCATAGAGTGGTCTGGGAACACACGGAAAATTAGCCTAGTGTATTCTAGAAAGGCTGAGATCGGAAGGAAATGGGCTTTAGCTGAACGGGAAGAGAACATGCGCTGGTCAGGGGATGGATTGTGTGAAGACACAGAGGTGGGAGGAGGCGAGGTGTGTTTGAGGAACTGAGAGATACACCATGCCTGGGAAGTAGTGAGCTATGAGTCAGGTGGTAACAGATATCAGAACAGGTGGAGGCAAACCATGGTCTGGATAATACATTAGGGGTTTAGACTGCATTCTAAAAGTCATAGAGGGGACTTTCCATGGTGAATTTTTTATTTTTTAAATTTGTGATGCTGAGGATTTCACTTAGTCATCAACATGAATCAAATAACTTAAGAAAAAAACCCTATGTGTATGTGTGTCTGTGAACATACATGGTGCACACAGAGCGGTCAGAGGGCAGCCTTCAGTGTTGGTACCAGTGTTCCACCTCAAGACAGGCTCTCTGTGCTTGCAGCTGTGTATGGTAGACCAGCTGGCCTGGGAATTCCCCTGTGGCCATGCTGGGATTCCATACATACACTACTGTATCTGATTGCCCGAGGGTACTAAGAATCCAAACTCAAGTTCTCACAGTCCATCACGAGACTTTTGAGAAGATCACTCTTGTGTCAAGGAGGAAATGTCCTGGAGAGAGGCAAACACAGAATCAGAGAATTCACAAGGAGTCTATGTCTGTGGTCCACGAGAGTTGAAGGAGACCCGGGGAAAGACGGATGCAGTGGAGATGGTTCAACACATCCAACAAACAAGATGGATGGGACTTGAGATGTTATTGAATTCATGATATCAAGGAGAGGGAGGACTCAAGGGTGGCACCTAAGGGGCTCAGAGAGGCTGATGTTAGAGGTGTCTTCTGGGCACTGGGCATTGAAGGGCAGCAGGCTTCAAAGAGTTCATGACTTCTGTCTTGGGGCAAGTGGATTTTATGCCCCTCTGTGCAGATGGGAGAAGAGAACCTGCCTTTAAACAGACGTTAGGGGTTCAAAACAGAGGCACTGTCTGCTGGGTCAGATTATCATTGCTTCCAACATTGACTTAAAACTGGGAAAGTAAGTATGTTAATTAGCAGTGTGCATCTTCTTTCATGGACGAAATTAAAATCGCATTTTCAGTATTTCCAAACAAAGTATTAGAACCGCTAGTAAGTCCAACCTATCTAAGTAGAAGTAAGCTTCCCGCCCCAATGAAATCTGTAAAATCTATACTGCAACTCCTTACAAGGGGTTGACTGACCTTTCTGGGATGTCAGTTTCCTAATTTCCTAGCAGGTGGCATCCACCTTTGCAGGACCTATGAGGATATTATTGATCTTCTTCAGGACATACCTTGGAACAGACTCTATGGGTGATTAGCGGTAGGAATTCTGCCTCCTGTCATAGTATTGGGATTGCTTGGTTTAGCATTGGTTCCCTTGTCCGAGCCTGACTGGTTCTGGTGTTTGGTTCAGGTACAGTTAGTGCAGGTAAAAGAAGCACATTGTGAACTGTTCCTTAAATCAAACACCAGTGGAGAGGATTACTAAAAGTAAATGGCACTAAACATGATCATTTTTTTAAAGATCTATCTATCTATCTATCTATCTATCTATCTATCTATCTATCTCTCTACATCTATCTACCTACCTATCATCTATCTATCATCTATCTATCTATCTATCTATCTATCTATCTATCTATCATCTATCTATCTATCTATCTATCTATCTATCTACCTACCTACCTACCTATGTATGTGTGTGTACCTTCATGAGTTTATTTGCGGCATGTGCATCCAGGTACCCACGGAGGCCAGAGAGAGTGTCGGATCCCCTGGAACCACAGCTACGGTGGTTCTGTGCTTGGAATCAAGCCTAGGTTTTCTGCAAGAGCAGTAAGCACCCTTAACTGCTGAGCCATCTCTCCAAATCCATGCACTCATGAGCCTTCTCTATTCGTGGCAGCCAAGAACCTGAAAATCAGGCTGGTCCCAGAAGCCTACTCAGCTGTTGAAAAGGACTGTCTCTCTTGCCGGAAGTGGAGGGGAAGCAGAGGGCTAACTGGAAAGCGGACCTCAGTACAAGGGTTGTTTTTATTAGGGCAGAAGCTAGATTGTTGAAATGTTGATAGGAAAGAGCTGGTATAAAGGGGGAAAGGCAGAGACGAGGAGAGGTAATTAAGAGATGGTTCAGGGGCTGGAGAAATGGCTCAGAGGTTAAGAGCACTGATTGCTTCTTCCAGAGGTCCTGAGTTCAATTCCCAGCAGCCCTATGGTGGATCACAACAATCTCTAATGAGATCTGGTGCCCTCTTCTGGCTTGCAGGGACACATGCAGGCAGAACACTGTACACATAACTAAATAAATAAATCTTAAAGAAAAAAAGATGGTTCAGGAAACTCCAAAGCAAGAGATTCTCAAGACAGCTGGCTGCAGTTTGATGTGATGCTTGAAACACATGCATGCTGCTAGACATGACTTCGAGCCCCACGGTGCGTGTGGTGTCTTGATTTCATTTCTCCTCCCGAAGAAGAGGCAGGGTGTCTACTGAGTTAGAGAACTGGAATAGCCACAGCCTTAGAGAGAAAGGCGGACCTTGGGAAGCTCCTGTAATGAGTAAATAAAGGAGCTATGGGGCGCACCAGAGGCTGCTTAGCTGTGGATGGTGAGGTTTTGATACTTGTCACTCGGGTTTTATGATTTTTTTTCTCCAGCAAAGTTCAACTGCTTAGGAATACACACAGAAAAATGAGTCAGAGTGGCTGACTACTTAGGAATGGGAGATTTCTAGGTAGGAGCATTAAAAAAAATTAGTGGGTTTGAAAAATTAGAATCAAAAAGGAGTATCTAAAGAGGCAGACTGTCACACCAAACTGAAGGAAGAGCTAGACACAGCGGTATACAGCAATGCCGGCACTGGGTGGATGGAGGAGGTTTGTGAGCAAGGCCAGCCTGAGCTACATTGCAGGACCCTGTCTAAAAACCAACCAGCAACAGCAACAACAAACAACTGAATCCAAACAAGTGGATGCAGCCAGGGATGGGGAAATGAATGGGAAGGAGGTTTTGAAGGCTTAGCGAGCCAGTGGTGTGGAAATGCAGGGTAACCTGGAGCTCTTGGAGTAGTGAGCTGGAAGGCAGGCTGAGGCAGGTGCTGAGTTCTCTGCATCACTGATTTGAATAGCTCAGAGTGGCTGACTAAGGAGGTGGAGGGCAATACATTTGAATAAAGGGGCTAAAGGAACTGGGAGTCTGGTTTGCTGGGCAGGACCCCCATCAGCAAGAACATTGCTGAAGTAAATGGCAGGTCATTGCTTGAGGGTAAGACCACTCCATGCAATAGCAGATGGGGGAGAAGAAAAACTACAGAAATCACAGCATTCATGGAAAGGGCCGGAGAGTGGTGACTACATTGTATAGAAATCAAAGACCAGAGGCTGCCTTTTAAATAACTCTCTCCAATGACAAAGCACATCAGCATACTAAGGATAATATGCAGGTTGGAAGAATGGTAGTGAACATGTACAGATTAAGATGTAAAATGAAGACTCACACGTCACATTCCGAACACCTAAGATACAGAATACTACTACGACCTTTGCACCCCTGTGCACCACATCCCTAAGGCTTCATCTCTTAATCCTGCAGAAATAGGCAAGGGGGGTAGGAAATCGTCTATGAAGAAATAAAGCATAATAAGATATTTGTTGGTTATGGCACAGGTAGTCCTGAGGACATAGGTGACTGGAAAAAGGACGGGAAGCACAGGTTATCAGGGGAGAGAGGGTAGTAGGGTCAGGAAAGGATGCTGGAGATGCACAGGAAGCACAGGATGTCAGGGGAGAAAGGGTAGTACGGTCGGGAAAGGATGCTGAAGGAGATGCAATACAAGGGCTGGAGCTTTGGGCATCGTTGATGTGGAGTGTGATAATTTCAACCCCAAGTCTCCCAGAGAAAGCAGGTGGGTGCTCAGGGTTCACGGGGCTCAGTTTCTGTTGAAGAGGAGGCTGCTGTGGTCATCTAACAGGGCAGGGTGTCTGTGCTGAGGGATAGACGGTGGTCATGGAGCTTAGAGATTATGATGGTCAGTCTCAACTGTTAACTTGCCGGGACATAGATTCACCTCGGAGACCAACACTAGAAGGGTGTTTCCAGAAAGGATTAGCTGAGGGAGGCAGACTCACTTTGAAAGTGGGTTTCTGGGCTCCCAGACTGAGCGGAGGGGAGAAAGTGAGTGGGACCCCAGCACTAATTCTGCTTTTCTTCCCGACTCTGGACACAGTGTAAACAACCTCCTCCTCCTCCTGGCCGTAGCTAAAGCTGTTTCCATCACCAAGCCTATCCCACTCTGATGGGCTGTGCCTTCAAACTACAAGCCAACAAAACCTTCCTCTCTGAAGTTGCTCTTGTTCAATATTTTGCCACAGCGATGAGACACTAAGTAATATAGGAGCTTTGTACTAAAGGAGGGTCGTGGCTATGGTAACCCTGACCACATGGTTCTTAGAACTGATCCTGTGGAGAGCCTGTG